CAAAATACATTTTGTCAGTTTTGTCTGATGACAATTACTCAGTATGTATCCCTTCAATATTCAACGTTGCTCATTGACCCTCCCCGTCCACGAAACGTCTCTAGGTGCGTCCCTTTCTATCTTGCATGCTGTTATGACCACCTGAGGTAAGTCTCGCGTTCTTGAATCCTGCAATTCCTGTGAGTTTGTGCATGATTAGTAGCTCCCTCACTAGACGTCCCTGGACTAGTTTTTTTGCCTCTGTCTCATGATCCTAACATCTAACAGTCCATAGCACAATCCTTGATCTCTTACTGTGCTTGACCTCATGCCCCGAGACGATTCCCTATCAGTGTCTTCTGCTGTCTGTGTCCTCCGTCGCTCATAGCTCTACTGTCCTCGCTTGTCTTTGACATTATGCTGGGTTTATCTGAGGTCAGTGTGCAATTCCAAGCTCTCGGCTTGTATGTGGATCCACATCTCTGGAGGTACGGTTGCGTTGTCGTAGTAAAATGTATCTACCGTGTTCTGTAGATCACTTTTGTCGTAGCATAGCTGATAATACATTTTGTGCTTGTCATATAACCTAACATGTGCGGCAATTTGCACGCATTGCGATGTATAAATGTGAATTAATCATGGAATTATACTAGATTACCAAGCCCATCGTGATCGTCAAAAGCTTTGGAATGGCACCAATTGTTGTATTGCTCGGAAGGGACCCCAGTATTCTATTCCTTACAATGAGACAGCAACGAGATGGGAAGGGATCCGATGTGGTCGACATCCGATCACAACGATTGCACCTATCGCAAGGATTGTGTCCATTGCGAAGACATGGCGAGGTGCTTGTTCTGGATCGCGAGATCAGAAAGAATTCTGTGATGCGACTCGTGTAGAGACGCACCGGAAAGGTGCGCATACCGCGAGGTGCACAGCATATAACAGGTAAGCGCTGATACTGTGATTAGATAAGGGACAATGCGCTAACCTTACCTCGAGTGGCAAGTCCGTCAGCATGCCAGCTAAAGCTTCGCTGGGGCACCCAGCACTTGCAGCACCCAGAGAGTCCTGAGTCCCTGCGACTAGGATCGCCGGACCTGTTACAGCAAGTAAAAAAGCACGCACTGTGCCATAAACGTCAAGGAGGATGATAGAGGGCGCGCTTATCGACAATGCCGGGTAGTTTTCAACTTATCCTAGTCTTCCGCTTCCCACATCCCAACGGTCTCACAGCACACGTGGTTCAACTCTTTGACAGCGCACATCCCGTATCCGCCTTAGTGAAGCCCGAACGATCCACATCTACTGCAGGTTGATATACACCAGGTAAATGCGACTAGGAAGGTGAAAGACACGATACCCATGAACGCGTACGCTGTTGCAAGTGACGTCAGCCGTCACCCCACTAACATCAGTGGGAGGTATCAATCTCACTAGGAGAACCCCACGAAGCGCAATGTAGAGCGAAGACCGTCCTTTGATAGGACAATAATCCCTGATGACGATCTGCGCGTCTTGCACGGGATAACTAGAAAGCCTACGATAAACTACTACTACCAAGTCCAGAATGCGTCTCTTTATACAAAGTACTGTCTACGGAGCAACGTCCACGAGGGCTGCCACCCCCCGCCAATTCTCCCAGCGATGCGCGTGACATCATGACGGTGAGAGGTCGAACGAACGTGCGGCCGCACGGAGCCCCGCCCTGGTCCAAACCCGCTGCCACACCACCTAAGGGGGCAGAAACAGGCAACCCGACCAAGCGCGGCAGCTCCCTACGGGGGTCATCACCACCACCACCGCAACCGTCACCGGAAGCTACAAGCTGCAGGTGTCTTCGTCGACCGCGAGAACGCGCTCGCACGCAGCGGCCAACATTATTAGCATCAGCTCTCCCTCTCCACGCCGCTCCCGTTCCCGTTCCCGTGCCCGTTCACACCCACGCTCCTCCGCTCGCGCTCGCGCTCGTCCCGCTCGCCGTCGCTCATCGCCCCGTCGTCCCGCAGCCGTTTCCGGCCCATGCCCGGCGACGCCCCGCCGCCCGCGCCCGGTACGCCGAACCGCGCGCTGTTCAGCGGGGGCACGGGCGGGGGCAGCGAGAGGTCGTTCGTGCCGGGCGCGGAGAGGAAGTCGAACCAGCTCGCAGCGTGTTGCGGGGCCCCCTGGGACGCGGCTGCTGGTGCGTGCGTGCGGTGACGTGCGACGAAGGTCGGACGTCGAAGGCCGGGCGTTGACGTGTGAGGACGGCGGCGACGGCCGGGCGAGGGCGGCGGAGGGAAAAAGGAAGGAGATCAGCGGTCTATCTCCATGCGGACGAAGGGGGACACACGCGGGCCAGGCGGGAGAATGGTTAACGCGAGACATGGGAGACGTGGATAGGGACGAGAAAAGGCACTCCGTGTGGGTATGGGAACACGCAGACACATAGGCAGCGCGCATACGTCACCGATCGCGCACCGCGAAGGCCAAGAGGGCACTTAAACTTTCGGCGAAAACAGAAACGAAGCCGGACGGGTACAATGCGGGTACGGTCGAGAGCAAACGCGAAAGCAGCCTAACGAGGGCAGAGCGGAGCAGCGTCGGATGGTGCGGACAAGAGACGAGAGACAAGGAGCCGCGGGGGCACAACAACAGGAACGACCACTCTCGCAGAAGAAGGGAAGGGAAGGGAAGGGGCGGCGCGTGTGTCACAGCCTACGGGATCGCACCACGGAATCACTACTCACCGTTCTCATGCCCACCCTGCGTGCCCTGCTGCGACGCCTGCGCCGACGAGTGCACGGGCCAGTCGAAGCCGGGGAACTGGCTCCCCCCTCCCCCTCCGCCCCCGTGTCCCCCGCCCCCGTGCTCGCCCCCGGCGGACCCCAGCAGCTCCGCGAAGATGTTGCCCGGGCCCCCGCCCCCTCCTCCCCCGCTCCCTCCGGACCCTCCGCCGGAGCCGCTCCCGGACCGGGCGAAGATGCTCGGCGGTTGTTGTTGTCCGTGCGGCGAATACGAGTGCGCGTTGTTGAGCGACGCCCCGCCCCCGCCCCCGCCGCTGGGGAACGTGACGGAGCGCAGCGTCGGCGCCCCGCCCGAGCGCGCGAGGTCGAACGGCGAGTGCGAGAGGAACGACGACGACGGGCTGCTCATCAAATTCCCGATCGAGCCGCTCGGGTAGAGCGACGCGAGGCTCGGGTTCGGCGGGTGCAGCTGCGAGAGCGACGGGATGGCGGAGCTGGGGTACGACGACGGCAGGTCGATGTCTATCCGGAAGGGGAACGTCGGGCTGCCGCCGACGTTGCTCAGGGACGGCGGCGCCGACTGCGCGCCGTGCGAGCCGTCGTCCATCCCGAGTCTCGGCCGCTTCGCCGTGCTGCTGATGGGCACGCCGCGCGGGGCCCCAGACGAGAGCCGTTCCCCGGAGACAGGCAGGGACGACGAGGACGTGCTCGCGCTGGGGGAGATGCGCAGGTTTGACCGATAATCCAGCTAGTTTTTTCGTGCACCGGCCGGGACGACGTACTTCAGCATTCGCCGAAGAGCAGAGCGCAGACAGCCACCACTCACTTCTGGGCTTGCCGAGACGTCATGGGATGAAGGAGGTCCCGGGCGTATTGGGACGATGCTGTTGGAACCGTTTTCTGACTTCCCCTTGGAAGGTGCTTTCGACGACGTGCTGTCTCGGCGCTTCTGGGACGCCTCGTCGTCATCGGCGTCCTCGTCTTCGTCTGCCTCCTCGGCGACCTTGTTGTTACTGTTGAAATCAGCCGGGCCCTTCGTGTCCCGCTCGCCGTCGAACTGAAGCTAGCATGAGAACGGGGTTCGGTGAGGAACGAAAGACGTGAGAGCGTACGCGGAGATGACGCTGGACCATGCCGTTGACGTCCGTCGAGCAGTACTGATAGAGCTTTGCATGGTGGCCTGGTCGTTCCTCTAGAAACCATGGAACAATGGTGTGTTAGCATCCCAGATGCACACTACCAGTGCGGCAATTAAAAGGAGCTGCCGCGCGCATGAAACTAGACCGCAGCGGTCCTGAGCGCAAAGAAGCCGAAAAAGGCACAACCAATGGAATACGTGGCAGGCTCGGACACAGCTGCATGAAGTGAGGAAGTGGATCGTCAAGCAAAGGACATTGGTGGGCGCGTCCCCGAGCCTCGAGCGAGACTTGCATTTGACTGCGGAGAGCGCTGCTAACGAAGAGCTGCACGCGTCGAGCATGACATGCGTCGCGCGGATCCTCTATCGCAAAGCAACGCAAGGCAGAGAACGCGGATGGCGGCGCCTCGGGTTCACGTACATGCCGCTTCGCGAGCGGCATCCGTCGACCGCGCATCTGCGGTCCTGCCAGAAGGATATGGAAGAAGGGAGAGAAGCGCGGCGTCACTCACCGAAGATGATGACGGCGACGTCGACGGAGCAGAGGACGCCGAGCTCGTAGGCCTTCTTGAAGAGCCCGTTCTTGCGCTGTGGTTTGGAGGAGGAGGGAGGAGGATATGTGCGGGTATGGGTGCAGAGCGTTGATCGACCGCGTGCTAAGTGAATGCCAAGAGAATTGACATAAAAATAGGCACCGACCTTTAAAAAGGTGACAGAACGGTTCCGTTCGTGCTATTATGAGCGGGCGGGGACGCAAAATAAGCAGCGCGCTGGCGAGAAGGCAGACGAGCCCCGCGCGAGCGTCGTATACTTGGACACGAACGCGGGCGGGCTATTTCGAGGTGGGGGGGCATAGGGAGGGGGTGCGTACCGTGATGGGCTGGATCTCAATCTTTCGTCTCCCCATGTTCGGACTGGCTGCGGAGGTGGTGCAGACGGGCGGCGTGTGTGGACTGCGTGCGGCGGGGCCGGTGGTGGTGGGCGTGGAAGGGGGGGAGGGGGAGAGGGAGAAGATGAAGAGGCAGAGAGGGGCGCTCGGGCGAATAGGACATATGGATGTGCAGCGAACCACAAACGCCGTGTCCGGAGCTCCTTGGATGCTCCTGCCAGTCACACAACTGCAACCGCCTCCATGCCGTCAATCCGCAGCACGAGCCTGCACCCGGTCTCTCGTTCCCCTCCCAATCCAATCGCTATCGCCGCCAGAACATGCGCTTCGTCCTCCGCGACTCGCCTCTGCCGTCCGAGACGCTCCCCTCGCCCGTCGTGAGCACCACCCCCGACCCCCACCGCTCCCCTCGCCCGCGCAGGCACAAGGCGCGCACGTCTGAGCCTCTGCGGTCGGCTATCTCGCATCAAATCTTCTCCACGTAGCAGCGAGCGTTCTCACCGACCGTCCAGCGTGCCTCATTCGAAGCTCGTCCTTCTTCCGCGAGATCTCGTCTGCTGACTTGGCGTTCACATCCCCCGCCCGTGCTCTCTCGGCCGTGGGTGCCACCCTCGCCCTGTCGTGCAATGCAATGTGCAGCCACCGCACGCCGTGCCGTGCTTCCCTCCCAATCGCGGCACCCGAGTACCAGATCTCCCTGCCGCACACGGCCAGATCCCAAATCGAGCCCGTGGACGCACTCGCGCCTCGTTTCCGGACACACGCCGCACGCTTCCTCCTGTCCCGAGTGCGATGCCGGCGGCGCGACCCCCGAAAGACGACGGCGTGCCCTCACCTACGTACAACCGCTTCCCAAGTACAGGCTTCCCCTCCGCCGACTACTAACCGCCGAGCCCCGCAGCCCGCCGACGTCTTCCCGTGCGCTTGCACGCCGTAACCAGACCGAGAATCCCTAAGAATCCCGCACGAAACGCGTGCGGCCCCCGCTCGGTGCACCCGCTCGCCGATGCGCCCCGACTCGGCGGCTGTTGACAGCACCATTCGGATAAGCCGGCGGGCCGACTAACCTTAATGTGCGGCGCGCCCCGCGCCGCCCCATCGCCGATCTGGTCAGCACAGATCGCAATCTCGGCAATATACAAGCGCCCGTCGAGGAAATCTGGCAGCGCCTGTTTGCTGTGTTCCTCTCAAATCCCCTAGGTCTAGGCATACCGACCGTCGCGCCGCAGTTACGCCAGGACGAAGCCTTTCGCTACGCGGCCTTCGAGCCCGCTCGCTGCTAATTTATTCGTGGACTCCTTAAAGATACCGGCCAATGGTGAGCGGCATATTCTCAGCGACGGCTATTTTTATCGTCTTATTTCCATCGTGATGCTATTCATAGAGTCGGTTAGAGCATTGGAGAATTGCCCGCGCGCTCTTTTCGACGACGAAACGAAAATATGTTCGCGGCGATCGCGCACGCCCATCGCTCTGGAAGTGGAAGTCGGCACCGAAGTCGCTATACCATTGATTCGAGTACCGCTCGCAAACGCGAGTTGTTCCGCACTAGCTCCATCCAGATCGCAATTCGGAATCTGTCCTATTGGCAAGAGCGACTGTCACTAGCGCGCCGTCCCTCGCACCGCTGTACTGTGCATCTCAACTGAATGCGAAGCGCAGTCTCAACACATATTTCAAACCTTATCATCGAGCATCGGCAAGCGCGGATGTAGTCGCGCGCTGGCGCGATAAGAGAGGCCTCGCTAGTTGACGGCCGACGTGCGGATGATCAAGAATAACGCACGATATCTCATCTAATGCGGGTTTCTGCTCTGTCTCATTCGCACTCGAGTCCTGATGTCGCATGAACTAGGGTCAAATCAACTGGCTTCATCGTCAGTCGTTCACGCATTTCACGATGTCAATCAGCGTCGCGTCTGCTACGGCGCTGATCCACCTTTGTCCAGCTACAATGCACGACGCGCCCTCCTGAGCGGGGCTCGGCAGACGATACCTGGTCTTCCGTGCGTCATGCAGCGGTCTACGACCTTACGAGAGTCATTGTCTCGGGCGAGCTTCGCCTGTAGACGACCTCTACATCGCGTCTGACTTGTCATGCGTGCAAGGACCAGGTCGCATGCGAAGATTCAGAAGCATCGGCAAGTCATTCGAAATGCAGTCCGGAAGGACCAGAACGTCCTCAACCGCGCGATGTCAGTATCTTCCTGTTTGCGGCGTTTCGGCTTCGCCGGCGTGCCCCCACCCCGGTGCGCGCAAGCGGCATTCCATTCAGTTGGCTCACTCATTCACGAACATCGATTGTGGAGGATTGTCCAATCGTTTAACGCTATCGGTGATACGCTAGCCGCTCAATTGCAACACGGGCGGTTAACGCCTTCGACCTCTCGGAATGCGACTCGTGTATGGCCTTCCCAACGCCTGGCACGTTGCTCGTTTCGCACCAGCTCGGCCGTTCAGCTCCCGGTCGGGCGAGCTGGCATGCCCGCTTGTGCGAACGACCGCGCGTCTTTGGGGGCCTGTGCTTCGTCTCCTCACTAACGTCACGCGCCCATGCATTGCCCTTCGGAACCTTATCAGAGAGAGCGGTTCATCCCATTGCAATCCAAGAGTCTAGGGTGGCTATTTTTCCTTGAGCCATTCGTCATTAGGCAATTACCAACACGAAGCTGCACGCGTTCTGTCCAAACGCTCCAACTATTCCCATTTTGCGTTCGATGCGTCCCGTCCCGCTTCGGGCTTCATCATTTCATAACGGTCGTTTCGCCTGACAATGGAGGCGGCTGTCGCTTTTCGTTGTCCCATTGACTACCGTTGCTCGGAGCGGACTCGCGGATGACCGCTGTACCTCCCTGTAACCTAGCACAGAATCGCCTGTGGGAGGACTCAGCCATACAGGTCCCCCACGTGCCAATTCTACCTCGCTGCGGGACCATGAGATGCATGACGTCCCGTGTCCTGTGCTGTGGGCTCTAGGCGGCGAGAAGCATTGCGGGCCAGGCCGTCCCACATGCATATTTACTGGATGCGTGCCGAGCTTGAGCTTGATCCCCCCAACCTTCCCTTCCTCATTGAACGGTCCTTCGCGTCCGTGGGCCCCGTGGCTACGTGGCCAGTGAGACCCTCGGACGTTGTCTTGCCTGAAGTTGTTGTGCCTGCTCCTCTTGTGCATCCCGCCTGTTCGGTCCCGTCGCCGGAGAACGCGTCCGCAGGCAGGTAAACCTTGTTGCTCCAGGGCCGGGTGAGAGGCAATATGCCCGTACTTGTCGACACATCACACGGGCGTGAAGATATGACGGAAGACAAGGTCAAGGTGCGAGAGGCAAGAGCACAGGAGAGCTGCGGTGCTGACAGGCAGTCCGACTTGTACCGGATATGCAGCAGACTGGGTTTGTATTCCCCGGATGGCATTCCCGCATAATAGACGGATCAAGCGCAACTTGGATGTGCGGACGTGTGAGGACACCGTGCACATGCGCCCTTTTCTGTGGAATTCAACCGCCAAGCAGTACCAATGATGCGTTATACAAAGACATGGACGGTACCATGCGCCACAATAGTCTTGGGTTGCCTCTTCAGTAGATCGTCACTAACAAGACGTGTGGTCAAGCCAACATGCTAGTGACCCAGTGACCGACCTTACCACTGCGTAAATGCTCTTGCCCGCTGGTTGTTTCCCATACCCAGTCGAGCGGCGAGGCTTCCCAGCTTGGTGTTCAACAGTACACGCTGTCGCCGCCCTGGGAACGGCAGATTGCCTTGCAGTGTCACGGCTCCATTGCTCTCCGGCCGACATCCGAGGCGACTCGCACGTTCCACGATCGCGGAGTGCGGATTGCACGCTGCTGCGCACCGCTAGAAGGTAGAAGGTGGTCACGTCCGTATCGCTGTCACCTCGACCCTGGAATGTATCAAGAACTCGAAGTATGCGGCGGTGATATGGATCAGAGATGGAGATAGGTGATGAGGAAAGGATGTGATGGTGGTTCTGGAGCGCGTTGAAGTGGTTATACGTCCGGTTGGTGCCTTGTTACACACACTCTCATCGACGTTGCCATCCAACCTCAAAGTGCGACGCGATATAGAGGCAGAATTAGCGTGAACGGTGGTGACGATGCCATAGAGGAGCAGGCCGGTTCTTTAGTCGCGAAGGCTGAGCGATGTGATGTAGGGAGTAGGTGTCGCCTCAGCAAGCGATAGGTGACCGCGGAACGCTATCGTATTCTAGGTTTCTAGGCATCTCTCGCACCCACTTTAGCGACGGGTGTGTCTCTTCGCATGCCACTGATTGATCGCTGCTACAATCGAGGCCTTCTACCGACCGTGTGCTCGAGCTTCGTCCTGCCGTAGCTGATAAGCAACACGAGGCCTCCTCCTTTACGATCCCCAATGTCTTCGGGCTTCCCCAAAGTGACGCCTAGGGTACGTTGATTCTCTGAGCATACGCATAGGGTTGAGCAGCTCAATCCATCCGATATCAGGCGTGTACTGCGTACCTCACAGGGCTGGCTATCTCCGTGCAGTATGCGTTCAAACGTTTCCTGTGTGCCGCGCTGTCCCCGCTCACCGGTTTCAGGGACCAGGCCGTCAACAAGGAACCTGGGCCCGCGATGAACTTCTTCCCGAGACTTTGGCTCGACTGCGCCGTGAGCACGTAGGGGAAGTCGAGCAGCTGCTGGAAGGGTGAGTCAGACGATGAGTTTTAGACACGTGATGAATTTGCGCTATTGTACAGCGAACCGCCGACATACCCCTGTATTTCTGGTATTTGGAACACATGCTCATCTGCCGTACCGGAGGTTCAACTACCCACTGTCACGCTGCCCGGACAACCTCCGCAAGAAAAGTCGCGATGCTGATTCACTGGCCCTCCTCCAGTCCGCACCGGTGGTGCACGGTCAAGAGCTCCCGTCCCGGCAGTAGTATCGGCACTCCGTTGGCCAAGCTCAATGGCAGAAGGTATCTGCTGGCGTCAATGCTTGGATGTACCCAATGATATGCTGGAATGTCATGCGCCGACACTGTGGCAGTCGATGTCTTCTTACTGCTCCGCCCGCTCCATCGCCCTCATCGCGGAGGCTGATACAAGGCGATGGTGGAAGCTGCCCTTTATGCCAAAGGCGCTGGGGGACCTAGCGGCCGTCAAAAAATTGCCACCAATTCCATTGGAAGCTAGCCCCTATGGTAGGTGTCTGGAACGCTGCGGGGTCCTCAGCTCCTTGTTGACCAACGGCGCTCGGTCATCGTCCTACATGGCTGACTGCGCGTGGCTGTTTAGGTTCGAGGGCGGGCAGGAAGATTCGCTTGGCATAGGCGCGTGCTGTTACGGCGGCCGCCGGCGACGCGCCGGAGTGAATGTATCATTGGGCGGAACACCCCAGAATACCCCATCGCCTTCCTCCAAGACATATCTTTGCGTGGTCACCGGATGCCAACGCGGGCGCAGAGGAGACGGGATTCTCAGCAGCGAGTGTCAATGGCTGCAACTGTGGCAGCGGCAGGTTACCGCAGAACGCAGTCGCTACAGTAACAATCAGGTGCAGACGAACCCCAAGATGAACCAGCGTCATTCACGTGGGTCCCGCTCAATATGAGTGTGGCTGCCCTTTCTTCCATCTAGCACATCGCGATGAGCACCGAAGCCGATAAACCGCGGAGGGAGGGAGGACCACCATATGCGCACCTTCCTCCAGGACGTCTCGGCACCAAATTCCCGCGTTCATTCCGCGTCGAAGTCTCCCTCTTCTCTTTCGCCTTGCCTCGCAGTCGACGGTGCAGGAAGTTACTGCATCTTTGCTTCATGTATGACGCCCGCAACAGCGGAGCAGTGGAATCTGTGAGGTCGCCGGGTCAGCATTCACGCGTCGAACTATGTGAACGGCTCTGCAGAGAACGATAAGCCGCGGGGCGCGCCGCATCCCTCGTTTGCGCAATCACGCGGGCGGCGATGGTCGAAATGACAGACGCATCTGTTATCGGATGTAAAGCGTACCTCGGTTGCTTCCGAGCCTGCATTGCCGACTGAGACGTCTGGCCCTCGGGTACGCACGCGTGCAGAGCCACTCCCTTTTCGGAACAGGGAGATGTACGCAGGCCGAAGGCGGTCCATGGATGGAAGAGCGTGTCGGAGAAGCCCAGCACTGGTTGTGGATACAATAGGGAGCGGGAGCGGCCGAGTACAAGGGCTTGGAGGGTGTCTCTCGTCCGCATCCCAACGAAGCTCTGCAGTATGTAACCGTGCTGGGGAAGCTGTCCACCGAGACAGTCTCCTCTCCGTGTAGCGGTTCCATGTCCTAGGTGCGTGATTTGCGAAACGGGGTGAACGTGGACCATTTACACGAGGATCGTGCGAGTAGAGGGCTCGGGGCGATACCGAGCTAATCTGGACGCGCACGTTGTAGCGCCTTGAGGCCGCGGATGGAAGATGGACGCGGATGCGAACCACCGATGCCTCGGGCGCATAAAGTCGGCGATGAATATGTGTGCCGAAGTACCAGGCCCCTCCACAGCGTCGTGCTCCCTGTTGTCTGGCCATCGGTATAGCAAAGGCGATATGCTGAACGAGCGCCATAGTCGTCAATTCAGTCTGAACCAGGGAGCGATGAAAGGAGAATGGGCGGTACTGCACGCTGTGCATCCTCTCTGAGTCAAGAATAAGGGAGAGACCTATGAGGGTTTGAGATAGCTTCAGGGGGGGGGGGACGTCCGCATGTGATGCGGTATATAAGCATGCTATTGATAAGTCGGCTAGGTTTAGAGCACGCACCAAAACAACCTGCACTACGATGACATGACCGAACATTTCGCGATCTCGCCATCCTTGAACATGGATTTGTCCCTTTTGATCACATACTAAACGGGAGCAGGAGCCACCTGCAAGATTATGTTACAAACTCATATAGTCAGCAGACAAACTTGGACTTTCTCAATATAGGAACGCACATGAAAATTATCGCTCTGACGGCAAATAGACCTATGACGGTTATACATATGGAGCCTGCTGAAGCGAGAATACCCTCATCGAAGTAATGAATATATAAGCGCGAGAGCAGAAACCTGAGGAAAGCCCTACTCCGATGAAATGCCCCTATGGCCAATAAATTCTGCGAAAGTAGTCACGAACACGACGGGCGTTGGGAGGCAAGAATTGAAAAAGTCACGGAAGAGGACAGAGGAAGGTGTCTGAAATATAAGTAGAATATTCCGAGAGAAAGAAAGCACATCGTGAAAGCTTCATGGCACGATGCTCCTCTTCGCATATGCCAAGGTCTTTCACAGCGAAAAAAGGCAGCTGCATGGTATCCATATCTGCGCGAGTACCATCAACGCAAGAGCAGAACACGTGTGTGTGAAATAATATAGTACAATAGTTTAGGGCTACAGCACTGGGCGATAAGCTACAGCATCATGATGACTTTGGAGGCAGGAACCTGGAACTCAACGCTCAGGTGACTATTGGGCCGAAGAGTCAACACAAGGCTATATCGTGAGAAGAGTAAGGTCTTACGTGTGAGTACGAAGGGAGGTGCGCCGCGGGCGGGGTACGGAGGATTGACTTCAGAGGTTGCACGGAGCCTCCAGAAGTTCGGCTGGCGACGCGTAGGGGGGGAATGGTGTATCCATAGTCGCTGTCCTCCTGCCCCTCATAGTCTTCCTGCTTGCCAGGGTACGGCGGAGGTGGTGCCGGCTCTTGTGGATGAGTGCGCGCAGAAGTGGGCTGGCCTCCCCAAGCTTGCTGCTGGCTGGAAGCGGAATAGGGTGATTGGTTCCGGTTAGATGCCGTAGCATCACGACTACGGAATAGGGGTAGGATGGCCAGACCACGTCTGCGCCGGCAGGACGTGCAGCTGCATACGCCAATGAAGAAGATCGCGACGAACACAGCTTGAGATGAAGTCAATGGTAGGCACAAGCGGCTCGACAGGGAGTCTACGCACCGATGACAATGCCAGCTATGACTGCGCCAGGAGTGTTGCTTCCAGTCTCATGCTCCCAACTATCTTCGTACTGAGCAACGGCGCACAGGGGCAGCGACAAGATGATGAGGGCGTGGATGGATAGTGATGTTGGCGATTTGACTTTGAACATTGCTGGGGACGTGATGGGGTAAGAGGCTTGCGGTGGGCTCGATGTGCGAGGCCATGGCGTTTATATAGGCAGCGTCTCAGAGTGGATAGGGTGTTTACGATGGAGCTCGTTAGAGCTCAGCCTAGGACCCGTCCGAGGTCTTGAAACTGATCCAGCGGGCGCCTGAAACGCCTGGCCGGGAGTGGAAGGCGCCCAGGCGGGAGTTCAAGATGACGTCCTCTGGGCGCCAATGGTGGACTACGACACGATGGGGCCCAGGCCAGAGCGAAAGCACGACTGCAGTACTTGGGGGCACAGATGGAGCACTCACAAGCACATGTACTCTCTCATGAATACATAAGAACGGCGTGTGGCCTGAAAACCTTTTCTCCCATCTCAGTCTTTAATCCCTCATCATGCTCGCTCTCGCCACTACCTCCCTCGTCACGCTTTCCTTCGCTGCATCCGCCGCGGCGCTATCCACATCGGGCCGCAGAGTCGGGCACGCAGGCCGCATCGCAGGTGGCGCCATAGCAGGCATCATCATCGGTAAGCTCCCTGCTTATACCGCACGATGACACCCGCTCGGGAATCGAATCGAGCCTTCGCCCATCCCGCGATATCGTGCCGCTGACCACTTTCCTTGACAGGTTGCATTGCATTCGTGCTCCTTCTCTTGCTCTGCTGCTGCCTGTGCATTCGCAGTCGCCGCTCGTCCAGGGCAGGTGGAGCTGCCCCAAGTAGATACGGAGGCTTCAGCTCCTTCGGCAGATCCGGAAGGAACGCCGCCGGCAACGGCATGGGCAACGGCGCGGTCGGTCCTGGCGCGCAGGAGGCGGGCTATGGTACTGGACCAGTTGTTGGCCAGCAGGGCAACTATAATGACAAAACCCAGCCGGCATATGGAGGCCAATACCAGCCGCCAATGGGTGCGCCCCCCAGCGCCCCGCACCCAGGCGGATTCGCTGCGGTGAGTACAGTTACTGCAAGTCTGCGCCGAGTCTCGCTCACACATATTGCACAGCCGCCTGCTGCGCATACCCGCGCATATTAGGTCTCCCGAGGTGCTGTTCACTTGTATATGTGTTATGAGCGGTACGAGTTCGTATGACAAGAACAGAGTCTAGTCTGATGTTCTCCGCCCAGGACTTTCTCGATACGTCTTGGCTCCATACCTTGTGTAGCACGTGCCCGACACGGATTTGATCGATTTTCTCGTTCCGTTAGCATCAAACATCGAACGTTCATGAACTGCTTCACGTGCCAATCGAGTTGCGTCGTGTCGGATGTCGGTCCCTCAAAGTACGCTGCAGGGTCATACACGCGTGCTGCCGCGACTCCCTTGCCGATGAAGGGGGTGAAAATATGGAGGAGTACCTGGTACGTCGACCCGGTGACGGTCGAAGACTGCTCCACGTGGCGGCTGCCGCGAGCTGTATTGGTGCCGAAATGAAGCCCAGAGCTCGTCCAAGTGGAGCCATACTAGGGTTCTCGCCTCTTCGCACATCTCGGTCTCCTGCGTCGACGGAGTCTTCTTGCACTGCTGTCCGTATCTCACACTCGTCGGGCGTGACGGAGGACTGCGAAGCACGTCGCTTCATTGCTGTGAGTTTGCCGCCGCCTCACTGTCTCTTCCTGGCACAGGTTGACTCGTGCTCAATCGCAGGTGCTTGTGCATTGATAGGTGTCCTTGCGCCAGCAGGGTCGCGTACTAGTAGTCGCCTGTGCCGCTGACAATTTGACCAAGCTAGTTCGAGCACAGCGGGGTCCAAGGCGAGAATGGCAACAACGCCTTCAGGTTTCAAACCGCCCGTCCTGAAACTGGAGCCAGAGCGATTACTTCAGAGACGCCATCATCCATCATTCTCAACAATATCTGACAAGTGACGTTTGAGTATGCAGTCCCGAGGTACCGAGGTTTCGGTTTCGGTCTCATCCCGGAATACCCATAACACTGACGGCATTATCCTAGTAACATCGGCCTCACGTTCTTCGTCACATCGCCCCATTGCCTCCGCACCTTGCTTTCTTCTGTTTACGAGGAGTAACTTGAAGAGGCACGAAGACAGCGGTCATGCGCTATCTCAAGGCAGACATCCTGCAATTTTTTTTTGCAGCTCAGCAGTGCCTTCACAGGAGGGAGAGCTGTCCTTCGAGTCACAGTGAGTCATCATCTGTCACCCCTATGCTTCTGGGAAACCTCTGACTGGTTCTACTAGTAAGCCCTGATCGTCCTGAGCACTTTCAACTGCCAGGGTTCCGCACTTCAACACAAATGATTTCCCCTTCCGGATTTCCTAGGAGATGGTTCAAACGATCTCCCGTTGGTGCAAACACCGAGGCCATATATCGCCGCCTGTGCATCCCCTCGACCCTCTATATGAATAGAGCCCCGCCGCGGGTTCCTCCACAGTCAACTTGTACGATACCGATACCTTGGACGGTCAGTGACTTCACGTCTGACATCTGTGCTTCTGGCAGGGTTCCCGTACCGTCTTATCCTTGCTGAGGTGTTGAACCGTGCCCTGCTTTCAGCTGCTCTTCCTGCTTTCCGTCGTATCTCCCGCTCTCGTCCACTGATCTCGCTTTCCTTCCTCGAAGATGGCTTTCCACTGGCATCGCTGCTACTCACAGACCTGTTCTTGCACGACATTCGTTGAATCTGTCATGCCTAGTGCTGATCCAAACGCTTCCTCCAGGATCCCAGCGGCGCACCTCGGAGGCTTCGGGACTCCGGGAGCCTCGTTCAGTTATTCCTATTCCAATGGGTTCCTCCGAGACGCCTCCCCATCACAGCATACGAATACTCAGGCGTCTCGTAGGACCTATGGTTCGTCCCTCCGAGTCAGCTCAGCACCTCGATATACTGATAACCGGGGTTGACTTGCTCAGCCGCCCTTGGTTATGACGTGCCCCGTGTATCGCCATTCCCCGACATGTCTGGCGTAATATGTTTTTTTTCTAGCGTCGTCCTCGTCAACTGATGTCGATGGGTTGTCGCAGGTCCCCCCTGCAGGGAACGCACAGTTCATGATCCATGATCCTTATTCTATGGCATCGACCCTGCAGACTGGTCAGGTAGTACCTCAGCATTCCAACACTCCTCAAGTTACTACCACGATTCTTCTGCAACAATCTCCGGGAGGACACATGATCATTGTACAAGATGACTACGCCTGCGGTCAAAACACCATATATTCCCTCTTGTCCCAGACTTGCCCATACGACCACTTTAGCTTGCATAGCGCCCACAATAAACATTTCGACAGCCTGTCTCGGTCCGATCAGTCTGCGTTTCCAGACATAACTTTTGGGCAGAAGATCGGGATCAGATTGCGGGTACATGGTCCCCTACAAAGTATCGGGGACACGAGCACCTGTCTAACCGGGCTGTACTTCCTAGGTCACCGATCATCCGCCTTATGATCACCAGATGACCGTGCCCCGCCCGCATAGGCCATGCCCCTCCCGAAGTGCCCTGGCCTCACTGATCGCCAGGGAGTTCCAACGTTTCCTGGTGAGTCTCGGCCGTGCTACGTTGCGCGGCAGGGTTCGGGCTGATCCCGGTTTTTCCAGGATCGGGAGAAGAATGAAGGGCGCGTGCTTAGGTACCTTGGGAAGGAGGTTACCTTGCAGAATCTGGCTTTGCTCGAAGTCAAGCACGTCTCTCGCGCGAGCGTTCAACCGGTCATCTGTCTCGTCGGCCTGTGAAGATCCGCGCCCTATGGATGCTTACTTTGATCAACCTCGACCGCGATATTTTCTGCCATGCATGTGACGAGAAGCATGATTGTGTGGTATATGTGATGACCTTGGGGGACGGACTACTGTAAACAGACGTCCTCTCGTTCAACGGTCCGCTTCATGATGTGCATGCCATACCCTACTGTATTATTTCACGTACCACGGACACGACTTGCGCCTATTACAATGTGGACGCTAAGATGGCATGGTCTCTGATGTCCTCTCAAGACAATGTAGTACTCGATTTGTATCCTATATCTGCGGTATGAAGTGGGTAGTATGAATCGCAAGAGCGCAATCACACATTCAGGAAGCGAGGCCCAAGTCCGACTCCGGAAGTACATTTGAACTTACAGCTAACTGCAAAAACATGAAGCGTTTGGGTCCGCTCTGTACGCGCGTGCCTTGTTTGGCCGCCTGCCCGAAACAGTAGGCAGCGGCGCTTGAAGACATACTGGTTCTACCTTGCCCTTCTCGCATCCCCTACATTTACATCAGCATTTGAACCTCTGCACGCAACGAAAATGGATGTGCTGCGTTCGTCTGCATCCGGGACAGTTGCGTTATGAGTACCCTCGCTATCACAGCCTTCGCGAACGAAAAGTTACTGCTCGCTGAGAACCCCGTGACGTGAGATAAGCGCTTGAGATCACATAACGGTGATACCTGGATATACAACTTACATTCTTCCCCAACTACCCCAAGTTACATTCCTCCTAGCCATCGTGCCTTCGCATTGAGTTCTGGGGATGTATTTTGAGACGTCTTGGTCACGATGCATTGCAGAGCATTGGCGCGCATCAACTCGCACCGACGTCAATGTGCTCGTGCATTGAGCGCCCTGTCCTACTGTTTCAGGCAGGTGACCAAACAAGGCACGCGCGCACAGAGCGGACCCAAACGCTCTATGTTTTTGCAGTTAGCTGTAAGTAAACCGAACGTCGCCACAATTCGGTGCCAACGCAGCGCCGACACCGGCTGGCATGGTAGGCGTTTCTGCTCCGCGCGACTGGAGCGGAACGGCACACAGAGGTCACAATCGTCTCGCACCGAGATCGATTGCGATCCGCCGAGCAAACCATGCAACAGATGTTCACGCTGCACTCCGCGAGGACCCCGCGCTCGAAGTCGCTGGGAAGTCGCGCCTCCTATTTGACCCACACAACGCCTCGAGTCATGCAATTTGTCATAATAGGACATGGATTTACTGATTATCGAGTCCGAAGTTGGAAATTGTACGTCCTACTGTGCCAGCCATGGTAGTGGAGACGTCGGCTTGGACATCTTGTCGCCGAAGGCGGCAATACTCGATACGGCCGTCTTGCAGACAGCCCACAGAACACATTAGGAGTTCGTTGAGCAAGCACAAGCGAAGGGTTGATCATGAATCGCGTAGCGGGCGGAGGGTGCAGGAGTGCAAGGAAAGTAAAACCCATTGTCGCATTCCCCGCGCCAAAGGATGTGCTCAGACCACGTAAAACCCCCAGTCGAGCCCCAAGCTATGCCCACCCTGAAGACATTGCGGCTCTGTCCCACTGCTGGAAGCCCCTGAACACAATGATCATCTGAGTTAGGAGTATTCTAGGCCAACTTGTCCCCGAGCTGGGAGGTGACCGAGACGCAGGCTTGCGGGCCTCGGCACGGGGCTGCCGCTGATCCGTGCGCGAACCAAGGGAAACATCATGTAGACGCCCTGAAAAACTCTACCACGTTGTACCTTCCGACCCAAGCGCAGCCGCCGGAAGCAACCTGGCGTCGTATGAAGATCGTTCGGGCCCGCGCCGAGTGCCAGTACGATGTTGTCGTGAGAGAACAGATGTGAGCTCATGCGGAGCCTCTGAAGCATATAATTATACCGCGTGGAACATGTACCGTGTGTCGCATTTCACATTGCCATTCCCAGCTTTTTACTGGATTATTGATATAATGACCGGCACTAGTGCCTTCGCCAACGCCCATTGCGTGATGTGGCTTTCCTCCACGCTATCCAAACGAGAACAAGATGCAATCCGCATAGAATGATCGCGCCGGTATCACTACAAGTGAGTGGTATTCATCTCTATGTCGAAGGTCAAAGGCCGCAAGCCGTACGTCGGCGAGCGTATTCCAGCGAGAAATAGCACCGAGAGGTGCTATTTCTTGCGCAGAATACGTTCGGAGCCGCTGGCTTTGTCTGCAAATTTGGACGCGAAATGAGGTGGCGATAAATGGCCTCCTGCGATGATTCCTCTTCCCCGCCTTGAAAGCCATTACGCACGCCCCGTCCTAGACCCTTTGCATGGGAGCAGGCTACGGCGTTGACACTCACCACTGGGATGCAATACGTGGAGGGCTTACGGGCGGCCATCGGCGAAATTCGTAGGAGGCGGGGGAGGAAAGGATGAGAGATGGAGGGACAATGCAGGGGACATCTCGGGGAGGGCGAGATGAAGAGTCAGATCTCTCGCACAACCTGGCTTAAGTACCTTTGTGGAGTCGATGAGACGCTCCTGCTATGAAGGAGTGCCACTTGCGGCAAGAGAATTGCGCGTGACCCGGCTTTTGGATGCGTTGATCGATCAATCGGCAAACCCAGCCATGGGGACCTCAGCACTCGGCGCGGGTGAGTGTTTTGCAGAGATCACTCACCAAACTTAGTATGTAGACAGCAATATCCTTATCCCTCGATGTGCATCCCGACCGTGCACGATCGACCGCTACATACTCAATTCACGGAGATGACTCAGAGTCTGGAAGGTTGCTTCGAATCAGATTCAAGAATCGCACCTTCACCCTACGATGAGCTGGTCAATTATGAAGGTTAGCCTTGGACAGGGACCATCGGATTGCCTGACGTTCTCGCAGTTGGTCCCAGGTAGGCCTGGAGGAAGCGAGTCCGCATTTCCGGGCCACAGAGTTCGTAGGCTGCGAGGGTGAGGCGAGGAGAAGGCAACATCAAGGCGTCAGAGAGTGAGGGCATAACACGACGTCTGGACGACCGTAGCTGAGCGGAGCTGACTTCGAATCTCAGAATGGCACCCTTGCTGCCGGCGGCTCGCGCAGGGACCCGGAAAACCTGAGGGGGTGGCATGAATTGGGCGATGCAGCTTGCGCAACCGCTCGATATGACAACGGACAATGCCCTTATTGGCTCGGTTGTCTCACGACGAGCGTCGCCTGACGTGTGGTCCAGCGCGAGCCAGCCGCAACTCAACGTCTCATGATCGAGGCCCTCGCGATACCATACGTCTTTACGCCCACGAGTAACCTCATTTCCCCTCCGTCACGACGGAGATGACATAGGATGCAGTCTGGACCAGAGAAGGCGAGGCTGGAGCCGGTCTCAAGGATTCAAAAGTTCTCGTCTGTCGTCTCCAACGGCTCTGGGGTTAACACCGCCGACCACGCGGTTTGTTTTGCAGACCGTAGCCGTACTGACGTAGCAGGCAGAAGGGTTCCTTTGTATCCACCACACGGCCAACTCCTTGGGTCCGGCATCTCGCCCTGGGACGTACAGTTCGGTCACTACGTCTACACGACACCCTCTTTCCGCCTTACCGTCCTATCTCCATCATTTGTATGACGTTTGTATCATGTCAACAGGTCCCTCTACGAACCACATACGGGTAGAAGGCTTCCCATATATGTCTCCCTTTTGTGCCAGCTTCCGGCACTCACAGGCTCTCATGACATCACCCAAATGTGGAGACCACGCCCCAGAGTCATGAAAAGCAGCGACGCAAACGCCACGGATTGGTTCGACGCAAATAGCACGGTGCGACCGCGCAGCACACACAGGCCCGGGGCCTTCACACTCTTGACCTCGTCCGCCCGACTCGCCGCCCAGAGGATGGCGTTTCTGCACCGGCCCCTATTCTCGGTATCTCAGATATGTTGGACTGCTCGGCTATCGACCGATCTTACCGCTGACCGATGGCAGCGGATCGATGGGATCGCGCACGGCCCAACTGGTCCCTGAGCCAAGAAATTCGCTCGGGTTTGCAACATTAGCCAGTTGAGCTCCCTCGTTTGACGGTTTGCGCGCGACCGACCCGGCCGCCAATGAGGCAGAGACCGAGGAGACGTTCCGCTGAGTGCAATAGGTTCGGCGCCACAGAACCACTGTCCGCCTCGAAATCGATCGTCGCTTGGGGACCGTGCTGTTTAAAAAAATGATGGAGGAGGTTACCTTCCGGAAAAGGTCGAGCTGTGGAGCTCAGAGTGATTCAAGGAGGACCAATAGTGAATCAAGCCAGTGCAGTGCCATCGAACGGCCCGGGCCGAAGGCCCTTTCAGATAGAAAAGAATGAAACGAAACGCCAAGATTCCTACTATTGCCCCCCTACAGGTACTCCGCGCTTGCATATACGTAGTAGCCGGGCAATTCGCATTCCAGAAACTACATGACAGCCATACCTGTACCTCTGACTGTATGCTTTTCATAAGACAAGACACATCCTCCCATGGCCACCACAAGATGTGTTCTGTGCGGTCTCCGGGACACTTGAATCTCCCATGTCTCCAGCCGCGTGCAAAATGCCGGAAGCAGTCCGCCCTAGCGGACTTCCAACCTAGCCATCTAACCCTTGTTACCTGCTGCGATTGCCATCTCTGAAAGTCGCGAACCCCATTACATAACTCGAGGACATGTGCGACGCCGATTTTCGCGGACAGGAAGGACTGCGCGGAGCCATTACGCGCGGATGCTGCGAGCTTCGAAGCTTCGACATTCTGATAGCCAGACACACGGCACGCGCACCCGTCGCTGAAGGCCGCCGGTGATTTGAGCATGTTCGAGCTTGGCTGGTTCGGTCCGGAGGCATGAGCAGCGGAGCAGAGCGGGACCACGAATAGGGTAAAGAAGCCGACGGCACGTTTTGCATCACTTGTTACACGCGAGATGTCAGCGCATAGCTCGTACGTACATGAGAATGCATATAGTCGTGATGACGCCAAGGGGACACTGCGATGAATTTATCCAGCTGACACTGGGTCAATGGCATTCGCAGTGAAACTGTGATGTAGGTCGAACGAATACAAAGCCTCACCATTTCACATGTGGGACAAGGCGACTCCCAGAGTTAATCTCGCAACTCGTGGAAGAAGATGAGAACCCGCGAAGCATTACGCATGCGAGACGCTATTTGAATTTGCGCTTCCAGAAGCATATGACTGCGAAAGGAGCGGATGGCACGTAGGCAGATGGCGCGGCCTATCTGCCTGCGCTACGTGGTATGAAGAGCTAGATTGTTCAGTGATAACGTGATGCTCACGATAGGGCCCCTGAAAAAATGTCAACCAGGACGTTAGTTGCCCGGTGGGAGAAAGTGAGTCCGTCATCTGTTGAGCGTGGTGAGGAAGAGTCTCGTCAAAGCAAGCGGCTATTGAGCAGCCCAGTGCGCTTCGATAGCGTTAGTTATACGGCGGTGAGTATGAAGCGTACCTGGTGACGCACGTCAGGTGTCTGCCAATTGTACTAGACCGTGTGGAGATCCGGGAGATTCGCACATCAGGCGATGTCAGAGTTCGGACTGAAAATTAGGGACGCCCACGAAGGGATCGGGGTGCCTTTTCCGCCGCCCCGACGCCTTCGGTCGCGCAGCGAAACAAGGCAACAGAGCTATCCCAGCGTCCTCGTCGAGTTGGGCAACGGCTCCAGGATGGCCGAGGGCTGGGCACGCCCTCCTTAACGCCGATCGCCGGGGGACTTCCACATTAGGCAGCTGCTGTGAATCAACGAGCCTGGAGCACGCCACCACGATCCCCTGCTACTAGGCGGATCGCACGAAAGTCTCTTCCCCTCGGCGGGCCTACTGTGAGTATATCAGTAGACCTTCAAGCCGTTGAGTCGTGGCGCCGTCTGCACACCGATCAAATCGTACTTGATATGGGCACGAGTATCAATTCAAGTTCGTCCTTAGGCGGCTGGCGCTGCGCTCCTTCCAGCTGTTTTCAGAACGATGGGCCCCTGCGCGACTTCCTGAACATACACAGTTGAGCTTCCAATCTGAAATGCCGAGGTGGTCCAGCACGTTAGCCGCACTCACCGGATGCCAGCGGTACAGGCAATGCCGCGTTAAGCCCAGACTCGGAGCTCAAATGTCCCGCTTAACCCTGGTTCGGCGCCTTCGGGCCGCGAACTTCGGGTACCGACTGTGCGTAAAACGTCGCGCGGGGGACCGCTGTAACATTGAGCCGCCCGACGTATACCCCCTGAGAGTCTGCGCAGGCAAACATGGAATGTTACCACATGATTGGCAGCTGGAATTGCGAGTTGGCAGCGGAACGGTGCTGTGATAGGCTGACATCACTACGGACTGCAGAATTAGACATAATTAGGATAGCAATGCTGCTTACCGTGCTTGTACAAGATGGATTGTCGGAGGCCGTGGGCCATGTCAAGTCGATGATGTGTCTGAGGTTCTACCGTTGAACGTTTGAACGTTGACGATTCACCATATTTCGGGCCGTGGTGGACGTCGGTAGGAGGATTTGAAATTAAGGAGCCGATTCACGATCAGATTTAGTTCGCGATTGGGGCTGAGTTAAGCGCTGTGATGGAAGGTTCAGGTGACGATGCCAGTGAACTACTTACATCTCCAACCTCCAGCCAGTCTTCCATCCTTCTGTTGTAGCTCTTATCTTTTGATGGTGATTCCCACGTATCACCAAGGTTTGGTAACCCACGCATTGATGATGACCTCGGGGATGAGGCTATGTGAAGCGCGAGTCTCCCTGCGCGTTCGGCTACCTGGCTGTAGTCAGATCAATCTCCGTGTGCCTCGCAGCCCTAACCCGTTGCGGCGGATACGAACATGGGGAAAAGGCAACGCTCCTGTCGGAGTCCTGCTTTCTTCCGACCATTTCGTGAGACCCATGCCCACATGGCGCTCCAACGGGGCCGCTCCGTGATTTTCGCGACGCTTCCCGCCTCAGTATGCCCTACGCGAGACCTTGTTCTCCGCCGTTCAACATCCTCGCACACCATCCCACTCTTCCCAGTGGGCTTTCCTTCGTACACCCGTCCTTCCTTCGCGTCTCACGGCGCACTCGCTCTACATAATCGGGCCGTTAAATAGCTCTCGGGACATCGTGCTTGATCATAACCCATCCTCCATCCTCGTCCGCATTCCACGAGAATATACACTCCTCAAAAACCAAGTACCCACCGTCGCAGGTTCCTGATCTGCGCTTTATTCGAATAATCCCATGACTACTAAGAGATTCCGAGTCGCAATCTGGTACGCTGCCCTATTTCCTACTTCCGCATGCGTCTCTCAGAGCCTTCCAGTGGAGGGGGCGTTGGTGGCTTGACTTGCGCCCTTGCACTCTCTCGTTACCATGACATTCAGGTAGATGTTTATGAGTCGGCAGCCGCATTCACCGAGATCGGGGCTGGCATTGGACTGTGGCCTCGCTCGTGGAAAATATTGTGTGCCCTTGGTTTGGCCGATGACCTAACAAAGGTCGCGATGGTTCCACCTACAGAGCAACCGAGTACGTGGGGCAACCACTCCACTCCTGCTGTTTTATCTGACGACCGTCTAGGAGTTGCATTCACCTTGAGGAAAGGAGACCAGCCTGAGGGTGCCAGCTTCTATACACTCTCCACCCCAGGTCGGTTCCACTTTCATGTAGCCTATGCACCGAAAGCTCAGTTGTCTGCCACAAAGGAGGCCTGCTCGCATTCCACCGTCCCGACTTTCACGGAGTCATACTACGTCATCTATCATCGCAGTGCCGCACCCATACGGGCAAGCGTCTTGTCTCTTATAGCCATACTTCCTCCCCCCAGCCCGCCACAAAACTTTATTTCCGAGACGGCACCACTGCAACCTGCGACGTGCTTATCGGAGCTGATGGAGTAAAATCAGCGGTACGGAGTGCCCTGGCGAGGGAGCTTGCGTCAATCGTTAGGGCAGAGGGAAAGGTCGAGGAGGCTCAGAGGCTGCTGGCCGCTGGTGCTCCTAAGTGGAGCGGGACCGTTGCCTACCGTGCGCTCATTCCTGCTGAGATCCTCCGCCAGCGCGCCCCGCAGCATCAGGTATTAAATCGGCCAATGCTGGTGAGCGCTCTCTGACATGTGACTTCGATGGCCTAGACAGCTAAGTTGTTGGTCCATGTCCTCGCGTAGTACCTTGGGGAGAACTCGGTGAGCTTAGAAGCCCTCGAAGAACGACTTGGATGCTGACGATGATGTAGGAGCTGACAGTATATCCGATAGCGCGCGGGACCTTCATCAACTTTGCCGCCTTTCGGTCCCGCTATGATCTGGAGGGCTCGTCGTTCGATAGGCCTTGGGTACAAGACGTTTCCCATGAAGAAGTGCTAGCAGACTTCGACGGATGGGAACCAGAGGTTCATGCTCTTGTTCAGGCATGTCTTGTCTTGTCCTGGACCTCACTTATCGTTGACGATGCCATGCAAGTCATTACAAAAGGTCAACAGGTGGGCAATACACACGACCTCGCCCCTACCAACTTTCGTGTCCGGGAGGGTAGCCCTCTTGGGTGATGCGGTGCGTCGTAACCATCTGTGGTTCCGGCACAGACGTCTGACCTTCGTGCTGGCGGTGTCGCAGGCCCATGCCATGATGCCATATCAGGGCGCCGGCGCCGGTCAGTCAATAGAGGTACGTCATCGAACCCCAAATCGGTGCTAAATGCTGCGTTGTCTCACACGACGCTGACGTTTATTGGGCACCTTGCGTGCAGGACGCCTACGTGCTCGCTACGCTCCTCGGCGACGCCCGAACAACGCTGGCGACTATCGACCGTGCGCTCTGTGCATACGATGCCGTCCGCAGACCCTTCGCTCAGCGGGTGCAAGAGGCTTCTCGCGAGAACGGCCTCTTGTACACCCTCAACTTCCCAGGACTCACCTTCGATCGTCCCGCCCGACGGTCGGATGACGAGGCCTCTGCCAAGCTGGACGAGATCAGTTCGCGTATAGTAACGAATTGGCAGTGGGCATGGAATACGACGATCGACGGAGACCTCAACCGGGCGCTGAGGATGTTAGACGGCCCGATGATCCGCAAGCGGTGGTCATGACCTTGGGTCAAGGCTGGCTATTTGTCTGTGTGCTTTCGTTGAGCTGGGTGTATACTGTATGTCTTGGTTATTAGGTTTCGAATAGAGGTGGTGGGGTCAAAATGCAGGGACCGGCTCCAAGGCTATGTACAGTGGTACGTAACCCCGTTATCCTGCCTCTGTATCTAGCAAAGACTAACAGCTGGGTAATGATCGCTGCATGACTATTAGGCACGTCATTAGAGGTTTAAGCTACCCAAGAAGTCTTCGGCGTAATAAACAGAGATTCAATCCTGTCGTCCACGCCGCCCTTTTCTGGAATGCCGTGAGCGGCGGCCAGCGGTCCTCGACGCTCGAGTTGTGGGACTCAGATTTGTGATGCACTCCAGCAGACGTAGCGGAAACAACAATGCGACAACAAGCGAGTGTCCTCGCGCCGCTAGCCGTATGTGCTAGCTGCATGCGATACAATGCCGTGGGCGGAGACCAGTAGACCAGTCGCCATCAACCTTGGTCACATCGCAGGTGATAACCCACCGAAGAGTACCTTCCGCTCGTCATTCCGGTAAACGATATGTAGAGTATATCCTCCTCGAAAGGTGAGGTAATATTTCGAGGTTATCGCGCATGCCCGCGCGCATTTGTGCCTTCCATGCTTATGTCTGTATCTAATTGGATTACCGTCAGCCTGCTAACCTCCACTTTCCAGGGTGTTGTCTGTTCTCCTGGCAAACCGGATGTTGATTAGTCAGCTTGAATGCAGCTCGCTCTACAACACCGGGAGGTAGGCTGTTCTCAATTCACCTCCAGAAAGAACCTTCTAATCTCCCCGCCCAGACGCTGTGCCGTACGCCGCACGCCGCAGGTAACGACATGATTTCTATGGGTGCGTTGCCGTGCCACCGTCTTTTTCGACGTCCTTTGGAGATCAGAATCGGTACATGTGGTGCACCGACGTCGACTACTCAAAAGTGAAGCGGTTACTCTTCGGGCACAATAAGCAGTAGTCCGTCAGCTCTAAACCTCGTCAGATACCGCGATGTTGTCAGTCAGAGGCGTCAATCATGCCTATTGCTGCGTTTATGTTCTCTTGTCGGGCCATCAATGACTGGCTCCGTAGCCAGTCCCCCGCAAGGGAGGCGGCGAGACGTCGAAAGACGCCGATGTCAGATTTTAAAGTGGAGAGGGTGGATATGGGGAGACGAAGTCGGTGAGGTGTTTTCCTTCTTGTGTCTGGCTGGAGCCCATGTCTTTTGCCACCGTTGAACTTGATTCTTTTGCTATCAAGTCGTGCCTCGTTGGTGTGGGTTACTCCCCATGACCCTCGTACATCACTATATCGTTATCCATATCCACATGTACTAGACTCACTGCGGACGTTGTCGGTAACACGTACCTACGAGAATGCATTGCGAAACAGGTCTCGGTCATCCCGTCGCTGACAATATCGACCGCCGGCTCGGGCTCGGGTATGTACGCCTAGCAGTGAATGGTCACTCCATCGTACGGACCTAGGTGCTGAGTAGCATTGAATCTAAATATGTTCACAGCGCCGGTGCTGCACTGATCACTGAGGTTATCCTGGCCTATGTATTCCGCGATCAATGGATTGCGGGAATCTTCAAAGCGGTAATGAAGGATGAACTCACCTGGGCAAGAGACCCAAACATCGTCGTCGCTAATATGGTGTTCGCCGCCGACGTGGTGGTACAGGAACTCCATAGGAGGGAGAGCCGGGACGGGGTCTTCTTTGTTATTGACGCGGGTGATGTCCATGCGCAACGAGTCGACCCAATTGGCCCAAGCTTTATTGCCAACCTGGGGAAGTACTTGAGCTCTAGTCGCGTATCTTACAAGAGGATCCCCTTACCCGAGGCGATGCATATCCGATGTAACGAACGTACACGTCCGAAGGCAGATGAAGTGGCAAGGACACGGCATCCAACAGGGCAATAGCGGCACCTGAACTGGAACGTAAGCGAGGACACAGGATTGCATTACTGTGAGTACAAACTCACCAAGAGAGTGTCCCACGACGGTGACATTCCTAGTAGGATGGAGAGACAGTGCCTCCTCCACAGCGGCTATTACTCCAGGGGCTGATCTACAGAACGGTGATGAGGACAGTGTGATGCGATGGTCAAGGGGGGGCATACCTGCTTTGTGTTCCGGCGAAACCCTCGTGGACACGAACGGATGGGTCGGCACCGGGAAAGAGTTTAGCATCTAATCGCACAAGGGAAGTATCCATGTCGATGAGAGGAGGAGCGCTGCACCAAATTCAGGATTCATCACTGCTCGACCAAGTATAAGAACGTGACGTACATTTCCGTTACGTCCGTACCCTCGTGACCAACGATGACCACGTTGAGCGTGGGATCATAACCAACATACCCTGATAGGACGACGACTGTCAGCCTCAATCAACAGAATGCGATGGCCGCCTTGAGATACCTACAGAATTGAGTCTCGTTGCCGTCTCCTCCGGAATCCACTGGCACGAAGGTAGGGTTTGCATCGCAGTTTTTGCCGCAGTTCCAAGCCTTGGTGGACGAGGGATGGCAGTACGCAGTGCTCGCGTACCACGTATACGGCTTGAATGCGGCTATTTCTGCTGAAGGTAGGGGTGTAATGGCATCCTGGCGGATTGTCAGGGTATGCGGGGCAGGGACGGCTCGCACGCCGATGGAGATGGCGGAAAGGGCAGCCAAGAAAGTGAACCAAGAGCTGCGAGCCATGCTGTTCGAGGTCACTGGCCACCGGTCTGACCACCTTGACTGGCCGGTCAGCCGCCGACAGTGAGGCTGGCTCCCGCTTGAGATAGGTCGATATCGACCCGAACAAGCAGCAATCAGGATGCAGACAGGCGTGGTCTGTGTAACGCGTCTCCATTCAACTGCCAGTCATTGGAAAATCCCTTCATTGACTCTTGCACTAGTAGACTCGAAACGTTGCCACCACTGTTCTCTGCGAAAAGTGTTCCCGTCGGACATGGAGTATGGGATGGGGAGAAGGGCATGCCCACTTGGAGAAAAATATCAGCGAATAGCACTGGATATGCTATAACGACGACCTTCATGCTATGACGTCAACCGTACTTACATGAAGTTGTTGATGACGCTATAAGTTGTCGCCGGGCTTATCAGCATTCATCTACCCGTGTCGGAAAATTGTGACTACTGACCCGCTCGACCGTTGGAAGTCGGGACGTTCAGACCTAATGGTAAGTTTCGAAGTCTTAGTGAAACTGCGACCGGTCAGACCTTCTCTGCTAACGCTGATGGCTGGTGAGCGTGCGAGTTGTGGCGCATCGGACTACATACAGTATGTGAGGCGCTCACCGCCAATTGCCGAGGAATGCCTCAGGCGCTTAAGTATGGCGAGTGCATGTGTGATTACCCCCAATCCCTTGCCACTCGGAATCCATCGGCAGATGCACCCAGAGGAGATTAGTTTGAGCCGAAGCACGTGCTAAAGAGCGGACGGCAAGCGAGCACGTCGCGCGCGTTTCGCTTGAGGAGAGGGGCAGCGCGAGGAGTCTCGTTGCAGCGTGTTTCTACCGGGCAATAGTTATAGAGGTGATGTCAAGTCATAGCCATTTTCAATAGATCAAGCAGCATTCACTAACGTTCGCAGACAAATGGTAGCGGTTCCCGTTGGCACCATCAAAAATCAGTGGCTTCTGTCACACGGAGAGAGCAAGTATGCCTTTCGGACGGCCGGCCAACGCCTAAATGAAGTCCACTATTCCGTGCATAGTCATGAATCTATGGCGTAGAACGCGCCGGGCGTCGAAATATGTAACGCCAGCGTGTCGAAGCGCATACATGCGCCTCTCACGTCAACCAATCAATAGATACAAACGTTCATCGAGACCGCCGACGTTAACATAGCATCTTCCTCCGTCCCTCATACATCGCGAACTTGGGTCTGGACTACATTGGACCCTTCGCCACAACGCGTCAGGGTGAGTGCAAAGTGTGAGTTTTGCGTGCTCTCCTCTCTCAAACCGGCTAACTTCTCAAGCCAGATACTCGGCCGTTCGTGTTCAGTGTCGGCGTCCGACTGAATACAATAGGAGCGTCACGGCCTACGCAGCTAAGCAAAACCTTGCAGCAGCGCGTACGTAAACCATGCGAATAACGACAAGCAGGAGGATACCGTCGGCGTCCCCCTTCTTGCCAGACATGTCACGTTCATGCGTCGCGACGACGCCCACGTCATCCACATATTGGTTATCCTCAGCTCCGTCACACTGCAGGACTGCATCCGTAAGACGACTCCCTTGGACTCTTCCCACTGGAGTATCGACGCAACCGGACATCCGATCCTCACGTCCCAAACACTTCCTAGGAGACGCCTTCGATGCCACGATGGCTACTCCCCAGTGCCATCCGTCGCCCTCCAGCGAGCGCGACGTGGGGGCGATCATTCCCGATGCCATCCTACTTGAGCAATGCCGTACGTGCCGGAAGAAGGACGGCGTGAACGGCATCAAGCTGCGGGCATGCACTCCGTGCGTTCAGGAGGAGCGCCCGCATAGGTGGCTACTGCAGCCCCGATTGTGAGACTGTGGATTGGAAGCTGAAGCACAAGGCGGAGCACAAGCATACAAGGGAATGGAAGCTCAACTTAGATCGGCTCGGACCGTGCTGAGTTGGAACGCGGGACACCATTAGTGCGATTGGACGGGTTCCACGGACGTCAATGATGCTATGTTACGGTGAGTTTCTCTACGCACACTATCATTTCAAGGCAATAGAGAGAGCAACGTAGCTCGGGTTTGTGCAGGAAGGTACGTGTCACCACAAAGATGCTCTTGATTATTAGTTCAAGGTACCCATCTCGCTTGCGAAGACACGAAGGGCTCGTTGTCCTAATCGCCGGTGGCGCGGACTGGGTGGCTTCTATCTCGCGCATGAATGGCATTGCCGCGTCACTTTTGCGTTGTACGTGGGCATCTGCGAATCGTTCGCTGTCTCAGTCTAGCAAAAAGGAGCCTCGCTGCTATCGGAGAGCGCAGAGTACTCGGTACGCGGATGATCTGCCCTTTTCCTAATATGATGACCAATGAACTACTCATTACATCGTGCCGTCAGATTCTTTCGTGGGGTTGAATAGTGAGCCTCTCTTGAGATTTCGCGAGGTAGGTTGCCAGTCTTAAAGGACGATAGAGGTTCTCACAACCATGCCCTTTTTCAACGTTGCCAGACATCTTGCCGATACCTATCGGATGAGTGGCTCGACATGCTCCATGAGCTTGCATGGAACCCACTACACACGAGGCTGACATGCCATGGAAGCTTTCGAATATACAGCGGTGTATCCTTGACGTCGATAGCCACTTCAATGAGGCATCTTCATCCGATGACCGCGAAGTCCAGACTCAATCGGGTATCATTCATCCGACTCCCAAATTGATCCGATTCATTCCCAGCTGTACCCATGTTGTGGTGTAAGCACCAGAACAAGCAATCCAATGTCATGACTGGATATTCTACCACAAGATCGTGTTATCCTCGTGCTCCAAGTGGAGCCTGAGCAAGTGACCCAACCTCGTGACAGCAATCGGCAACCCGTATATCGATCCTACTCCGCAATGATGGGGATTGGTAGCCCCAAGATGCCCGTGGGTGCAGTTCCAGTTGCCCCGCCGGATGAGCATCCCATCGTCACGCCGTCGTATGGGCCGTCGTGGTCGAATTCGTTGTTGAAAATCAGATTTACAGAGCCGGTGCTACATTCAGTGCTCGGGTTGTCCTGACCTGTTTGCAGACCGGATTAGATTCTATTTCCGAAAATAGAAGCAGGGTTCTTTCGAAATGTACCAGGACAAGTGTTCCACACTCCGTTGCTTTCGATGCGGACCTCGCCCTGTGGATGGTGGAAGCCGAGCAAGATGAGAGGCAAGATGGGCACAGGGTCGTCCTTGTTGTTGATGTGCGTGACCGTCAGGTTCTGTGCGTCTACGTAGTTCGCGAAGTCCTGATCGCCTACCTGCAAGGCAGCGAAGAAGCTTCAGAGACAGCCCTTGTGGATAGAAATAGAATCACGCAGTACGTACACGAGGTGTGCCATACCCAACGAAGCGCATCACTGTCCCATTCGGAAGGTGTAGTGGAAGGAACACAGCGTCTAGGAGGGCGATCGCAGCACCTATCCAATAGAGTTATCGTTAGTACCCGGATGTATAGGCAGGACTCGACCGTCGTCACCGAGAGAATGTCCCGTGGTCGTGACCCTGGTGGCCCCGTACGTGTCCATCCCTTCTTGGACAGCCGCCAGTACCTGCGGCGCCGAACTTCGGTGCAGTAGTCAGATAAGCGGACCGTGTGCCGTGGATACCCTCGCAACACACCTTGCGTGGGTCGCAGCAAAGCCTGTGTGAACCTGGATGGGTAGTGTCATTCCTGGAAATAAGGACAAATCAAGAGGTCCCAGGAGCGTAAGGGCATCAGTCAAGGCCGGGACGCTGCCAACCAAGCTCAATCAGCGTAGGTTTCCTATTGCACACAACCATATGTTCTCACATCTTTGACACGTCGGTTCCCTGATGAGAGACAATGATCTCGTTCAAAGTAGGATCATAGCCCACGAACCCTGCCGTAACAAGGTGGCGATTGAGCGCGTCGGAACAGGGATGAACATGGTAAGAAGGATGCTTACAGAATTGGGTCACCACCCCATCTCCGCCAGAAGCGATGGGGATGAAGGAAGGGTTGGCCTGACAATTCGGCCCGCAGTTCCAGGCCAGAGTGTTTGCCGGTTCGCAGTACGCTGTACTTGCATAATTGGTATATGGCTTGAAGGACGAGACCTGTGTTCGCGCTAAAGGGGTGATGTTCTCCTGTCGACGTTGTGGCACTGGCAACGTCGACGTCGGAACGGCGAGCACGGAGGACAGCACGGCGAGGAGGATGACAGCGATGACGGGCTGGAAGGAAGACCCCATAGTCGACGTGTCCTTCAGGTACCTGAGACCAAGGGAGGAGGCCTGGCCAGGGGCAGGGCCTCGGATCCCGGATTTATACGTCGGGACGAGAACCTCGGGGCATAGCGAGCCACAAAGGGCATTCCGGGAGGGAATGAGACACGACTATAGTAGAAGGCGGCAGCTCCGGCACGTCGGGGGCCTGAGAAATGTCGAAGAATCATAAAGAACGGAGGACCTGATTCACAGTGGGTCGCCGGTACACACATAGAAATACCTCATCGACATGCGTAAACTCCAGGAGGTGGACTGGGGCTAACTCCGACGGTACCCTCTCACTGGCAATTGAGTCCGGTTTCGAACAATTCAGCGTCTATGCAAATAGGACCAAGCAGATACCCTTCATCCGATAGTCAGATAGCAAGCCCTAAAGGCCTAATCCACGGGTATGTCTTTCCGCTTACCTTGGCAGCACAACGCGCATCACCCTGTTAGCTAGCAAATTTGGAAGGAGAGGATCTGAACAGTTCTTGGACACGATACACCGTCTGCTGCAGAGTAGAGCTCACGGTGGTAGCCAGCAACCCTCATGTTCTCGTCTTACAACGTACTCGGGAATCTGCCGCCAACGTGCAACTTGATCACTACGTTGCACTCAGTCAGCTGCATCCCTGTAGCATCTCGCATCCACTACGTACTCAACCAGAATTCTGGAAAGCGGTCATATCACATGGACTTCGGTGAGTGTTCAAATCTATGAATTACGAAGAGTGTAATGAATGTCATCGATGATAATGTCAACCTCTCGGCACTCTTCAAGTCGCAGAGACAGTCGTTGGGTCAGACTACTAGCTCAGTTCAGTGAACATCTTGTTACTCAGGATCTAGTCAGATATCATTGCTTGCCCTGAATCCCGCAATGACGTAGCATTAGAGACAGCTCCGGATTACAAGTTTACCGCCGAGGTAGCAGGCAGGGAGTCTCAGGTAGTGCATGCTGAGCTTCGTCGATGTTTCGGGGACTTACGAGAAGGCGTATCGAGAGCATCTGTGACATAGATGCAGATCAGAAGGGAAACAAGTCTGATATACTGACCTAGCACCCTCGGTGCGAGTTGTACAGAATTGGCCTATGGGGCAATGGTGATCCGAGGCCCAAATTTGCACTTAGCAGCCGGAGCGACAGGCTTTCTACGGTGCAGAGATGCTTCGCCGACGCCGCTAGCTTAAACAGGGGCCTCAGCGCTTCGCATACCCTTGGACCCTTCGAGAATCCGGGAAACCCGGGTGCACAGGAGAGGTGGGTATTATACTAGTACAAGGGATCCATGCTACACGCCCTTCATTTTTAGTACCTCGGGTTTTCGAGCATCTATGGATTGGAGCGTCATGTTCGAGTTTCATGACCGCTCGAGGTTTCCCGTCTGTGTTTCGGGTTCTCGAGAGGCTGGTTCGCCGCTAATTGTGAGCCTCCGATTCTCCTCTCAGACACGTCAGGCTTATGAGAATGCTTGATATTGATGCCGTTCTGTTGGGGCATATCTGGATACAAGTGTAGGGCCAGGGAGTGTACAAACGCCGAGGTAATACAAAAGTATGATTCCGCGGCGGGACCAGGAACTGCACTTCGCGGCTCCCGCCAGCATGACTTCGCACCGTGGTCGTCGGATTTGGCTACGAAGTCGCGTATTTGATAAGCTGCTACCAGGACCAGCCGACGTGCCATATACTTTTGACCTGGTCATTGGGTGTTTCTTTGCCTTCCTTATTGATGTACTACGGGTGGTTAGGCATAGAAGCTCCGCCGTCACTCTCATCTTGGCCCCCTGGGGCCATGCGCATGGCACGGTGAACACACGTCCAGTGCCTGGTCCCTGATTCGGCTCCGCCCGCATTCTCAACTGCCATGAGGTCAAGGAGAGAAGTCCAAGTATAGTGCATCCGTTGAACGGTGAATATCTATTCTTGGTGGCATTCATTTGCGATTAGCGATAGGGCTCAGGGTGCTGCGGCTGGTGGTCTCCGGTTTACACGCCCCGACGCCCCTGACTGCTGCGAAGGAGGTGCGGAAAGCACCGGTCTGAGCTCTTGGCTGCATGAACCGTGATCTTCAGGGCTTCGTGTGAATGACGCAATGTATGACCCCTCCGGCGTTCCTCAACAAGCAGGCCCGGGGCGAACTTTAAGTAATCAGGTAATCAGACGGTCCAGGGTTGTTTGTACACATCTCGCCACGGGATGATCACAACCTGCGTCCACAAACGAATGGGTACTGCACAGGGCTGGGCTCAGCTGGGCGTGGGTCGCAGCAGACGAGAGCGCGCAAGCGTTGGTTCACTTGCAGAGCCACAGATAGCTATCCACAAGCTTCCGTATAAGCTGGTTTCAGTGCATGACCGCGTAGCAGCCAGGGCTGGCTTGAGATCTGGGAGCGAGGCTATTCAAGCGTTCAAGCAAATGACAAAAACAGTCCATGCATATGGAAGCAGATGTATCAGTGTCCAGCCCACATGCAAGCGAACAGACTCAGACCATCGACTACGACAATGGCCATTTGCACCACGACTGCCTTAGACGACAGCGACACCCCCGACACATCCTAGAAGCAGAGCGTCCACCGTGCCGCCGGTCTCGCGCTCCAGCCATCCGTCGAACTCCTCGAACAGCTTCATCGCTCGGCCACCAAGGGCCTTCTCTGCCCTTTTGCCAGGCCACATGGCCTTCTCGTGGATACCCATGAAGTTCACCTTGATGCTGCTATCCGAGGGGGCGCTGCCGTCCGCAAGCGGAAGCTTGATGACCAGGTCCACGGACCAGGTGTCGTGACCGTAGAACGAGCCCTCCTTGATGTGGTGCCGGGCGAACTCATCTGGCGGATGGTCGTCTAACGTCCACTTGAGCACATGAGCGTCGAACGCAATTGCTGATGCAGGCAGTCAGATCTTCCCAGCCTGCGAAGGTCACGAACGCACACACCTGTCCAGATAATACTAGGGTGCGTCACGACGAGTGTGAAGCTCCGAGTACCAGCAACCTCATCTATCGTGTTGTTGACGGCAGTGACCTTGAAGCCAGGGTCCAAAGGGTCCTGATGTTCTGCGCGAAGGGGCAGGTCGAACTTGTAAGGCGTCAGGAACTGCAAGTTATGTGAGACGCTGTCAACAACGCGATGTTGAAGCATGCACCGACCGCAGAGAAAGGATAGATTGTGTCCCAATCGCTGTTCCAGTCATTCATGACAACTGTGGTCGGCGTGACGCCAGGCACACTGAACTCCTTCGCGATGTCCCTAGCGAGATCGTGGAAGCCCGGTGCACCGTCGGCTGCGGCGACGTGTAGATGCTGCTCAGCGCTAGTAATCTACCGAATAAGATCTACCGTCAGTTTCAGGTTGTTGTAGGCATCCCAGCAGTGCCCTTACGTTCTCCATGTGGATGATGAAGAGCCTTCTCTGGTGCATGGGATCGAATGGCGCGCGCATAGAAAAGATAGCCATCGCCAACCCTGTGGCCATAGACGTGAAGATAGCAAGGCGAATCAAGGTACGCCGGCTGAACCGGTGCACGAAGGGTACGGTCAACGGTAGGATGAACGAGCCCGTGATGGACACGATGGTAGCGATGACGAACTCCGCGGGAGCCTCCTCGCCAATGCGGCCGGTCTGCATGAGAGGTTTGAGCTTCACAATACAACAGTGTGATCGAACAGTTACTTACCAACGGAACGAAGACGTCAAGCACTGAATAAAGCATGCTCGTGCCAGCTATGAGAGGTGTTACTACGCTGATGGCATAACTCCAGAGTGAAATGTCGTCTCCGGGGCTTGTCAATAGCGCGTTCAAGATGAGAGCTGGGATCATAGGAGAGGATGTCATGAACAGCGTTGCACTAGAGCCGAAGCCGAGCAGCTGTATCAGCGCGCCCAGGAAACCTTGGACGATCATGATTGAGGAGAACGCGGTCTGTTCCTGAACGTGACCGACGATGAGCTGGGACACCAATGCACCTGACATCCAAAGTCAGTCGTCTTGCGCTGGTGATGACAAAGTGAAGGAGCGCACCTGATAACGCAGCAGGCCCGTAAAGATAGAGGGGGGCAAAAATTGACGTGAACCAGCTGAAGGACTTTCCAAGGACCTTGTCCATGATGAACGCGACAGCATTGGCGCCAACTACAGCACCGATGAAGGCTCCCGATGCCGCACCGATACCCTTAGTTTGCTCGCCCAGAAAGCTCGTGCTCTTCTTCAGCGCGGGCGCAGGGTCGACAAACGTAAAGCGAGCAACAACTAGTGCAAGGACGAAGGAGACGGAATATAGAATCTTCGCGGTGGTGAAGGTGTAAACCAAGAAATTTCCGAAGTGCTCGAAGAAGACGATCTGTGGCTTGGTGTAGCCTGTGCTAGCGAGCTGGGGAAGGGGCGAGTCCGAGGACGTGAGATGCAGAAGGAGCCCGTGTACGTTCTCAGCCATGTGCTAGCGCCCCGAGCGATCGTGAGCATCCCCTAGAATGCGCGCGAGGCAATTGTGAAGTGCATACCTGAGCGACACCGGGTTCTATGTGCTCTACCAAATCCTTGCGCATATGGTATAGATAGCTGTCACCGACAACTGCCATCTATCGCCGCTCGTGTGAGTGAGGGCACTGCGCACGCAACCATGGTCGACTCACGTCTAGTCCAGTGACGTTGAGGTATAGTTGGAATTGTCTAAAGTCAGTACTGTGGGCACTTCGTCAGTCTTATCCTTGCGTGGCCCATCACAACTTACTCAGAAAGTAAGACGCCCGAACTGAATATCTCATGTGCTATTATAGACCCGTGGGGCCTAGATTGTAGTGAGCTCATGTTCTCCAGGTAGCATAAAGGAGGCGCTCCCACCTGGGTACGTGAGAGTAAGCCTTGACCATTTGCTCAGATGTTGCTTGGAATAGCAGCTCCCGCCCCGTGCTACCAGCAGCTGTAAGGCAGGTAAGCTTTACAGACCCACTCTATCCTGGGCGTGAACAACATACCTTCGAGGTTAATCACGGCACGAACTCTGCAACAAGATAAGTTATTGGCGGCCCTCAAGTGACTAGGGAGAGGGGTAATTCACGTCTTCGCAATAGGATGTTGCGTGGAGAACAGATGAGAGCCGTCTTGAAGGGACTCTTCCGCGTTATTGAACACTAGACATTCCTGGTCACGTGCGGGTTCTGCGGCACAAGAAAGACAGCACTCACAGAAGATGATAGCATGTTTAGGCTCCCAGTCTGGCTTGTGAATCAAAACTCGGATGTTCTCCAGCATCACGCCGACGGACAACGCATCGTCCGCAGCGCCAGGGGATGGCAGCGTGCTGTCAACGTGCGAGTTCACTAGCACCGCGTCCTTCTTGCCATCCTCGGTGCCGTCCGACAAGCGAACGATGATGTTCGTCAGGTCAACATAAGTTTTGTACAGCCGCTTGCCCATCATATCGAACCTAGATGCCCACGCCCAAACCGAACACAAGCGAGAATCCATGCCATCGTCAGTCCGAACGCATCGTCATGACCAGTTCAAGAAAGCGGAAGGTGTGGCAATCCGTAATGTGTGTGAGATGACAAAGACTCGTACCGATGACTCCCGCTACCCTGTTGATGCCACACCTCGCATTGCAATTTCCGCTCGGGGTGCGCCCGCAGGACCTCTTTGGACTCCTCGCAGAGCATCTCCGCCTGTTTCAGCACCCACGCATCACCCGCTGCATGCTCGGACGTGCCGACCGTACGGTATCCAATGTCTTCCGAGAGATACTTCGCATGCGCAAGGATATGGGCCTCGGACAGTTGGGGGAGGGAGGTGGCCGGATTGATTCTAAGGGAGTGACGTCACATAGTGGGGCTTTCACTGGTGGCCTGGTGACTTACAGTTCAGTAACGGGTTCCGGAAGGCCTTTGGTAGAGCTTTTTCAGGACGCAGTTGGTCTGGCCAGGGGACAGGAGACTCACCATAGTGTTTCTGATATGCGTAGAATGGACCCGCAATGAAGAGCGGCGCCAGAACGAGTAGTGACCGGACGGGTCCCCATCGTGACCGAGGAGCTTTGCTCATCGTGGTCGACGCTCCAAGGATGCAACAATCTGACAGAAATACTGTCAGACGCGAGCGCAGACGATGGGCAGGATGCTGGAAGAGATAGAGACACGACGTGTGGGAGCAAGGTGTGCTTGCTGGCTCGCTATCCAGCGCCTCTATTGCCTACTTTGAACCAGACTGTCGGCGCGCCCACAGCCTCGGAACCGTAACCCGAGAGTGCCGATTTCATGGATGTGATATGTTTGTGCCAATAGGTACAGTAAATGCAAAAGAATAGTGTTCCATCTCGGAGCTCAGACATACATAGCGCTAGCAGCAGCATGATAGCAGTGATAAGCGGGTCAAATCAATCCGCGTCGCCCCCGTTTCCTCCACCCCTCCTCCGCCTGCTCTTGATAGCCTCCCGATGACGTCGTTTCCAACCCGCAGTAAGCTCGCCCTTGGCCTCCTCCCACCGTGCGCGGATCGCCTCGGGCGTGTCTGTCCGGTAGAACCAGGTCCTCCAGTTCGTGGGGTCATGGACATTACGCTTACCGCCGCCGTGGTCGACTGGGAAGAAAAACGGTCGCGAAGTGTCGAGGGTAGTCGTGTGAAATACATGGTTAGCCGGCGGCTGGATGGCAGCCAGGGGCTGCACGGGCGCAGCGCTGGGTGCGGGAGCGGGAACGTCAAACGGCAGGTCGTCCTCGAGTTCCAGGTCCAGATCGAGATGATCGAGAAGGGAGAAGCCAGCTGCATCGTGGTTGGATTGTCAGATTATGACTGAACACGATATGGACATCACGTACCCTCTTCTTCGCGTGGAGCGAACAAGTCCTTGAGCTTGGTCTTTTGGGCAGCACCTGCTTGTTGGGGGACCACCTTTGCAGCGGGAGCAATACTTTCCTCTGAAGTCTCTTCGACCTCCATAGCCGTATCTGAGTCCGTAACAGGCACCGAGATGGGGTCCAATTCTTTTGTCGTGGGTGCAGGACCGGAACGCTCGTCCTCAACCTCGATGTCAGAGTCCAAGCTCTCTGCACCACCCCAGTGGTCCGCATCACCAAACAGGGATTGCAACAGGTTCAGCGATTGCTTGTTTTCCTCGACTAGATCATGGCCTGCAGCTGGGGACTGCGCGATTGGTATTGAGGGGACAACCTGAACCTTCGCTTGAGAAGGAGTAACGGCATGGGATACAGGGACCTGGGGAGCAGGAACAGAAGGGACCTCGTTCTCCTCTGAGTCATCCGAAGACGCGACGTCCTCAGGAACGTCTTCGCCCTCGGTTTCTGAGCTCGAGTCCGTCATGCGTTCGCTGACATCCGCACGGCTTGTGGAGGCGACGCTCGCACGAGGCGGCGCTGACGGGATGAATGCGGCAGCATTCTCTAAGAAGATGCCTTTGAGGTGCTGGGAGCCATACTTAGTAGGGTCGATCGTCTTCCTCCGTGCGCGGGTCGGGGGATCCCGCACTCGCTTCTTGATTTTCACCTTGTCTACTTTGCCCTTCCCCTTGTCCTTTGACTCCGCCGACGGCCGCGCGGCTACGGTGGGCTCGGGTAGGGGATGCAAAGGGCGCATGCGCATCGGACGGATAAGGCGCCCCGTCGGGGTGACGCGCCATCCTCCGCGGGTGGCGACATTCTCCGGGGTGACGAGGGACATGTCGCGCGCGTGGACACCCTGAACTCCGCGCAGGCAACGACGCTTGTTTGGAGGCTCACCATCCGCCTCCTCTGCGGCACGCTTGAGCTCAGCTTGCTCTTGAGCAATTCTGCAGAACAGCCAGGCGTATGAGGCTAAGGACTCTGGGGGGCGGAGGGGATGCCTCATAAAATGACTGCATACGGCACCTTTCACGGTAGTCAGGCTTCGCCTCTCCCAGGCGCAGTTTTGCGCCCTTCCATGTCACACCACTAAGGAGATTCATGCCTGTCAGAAAAGCATGAGGCGAAGTCACGGACGACAGTGTCTGGTGTACGTACATCGGGCCAACTTCCCTTTCGTCGTCTCCAACGTCGCGTACGCAAACTTGCGAGGCTGACCCAGTGCGTCGAGTGCGCCGAATCCATCGATTGCCTTGACTGTGCCGAAGGACGCGAGACGGTCGGACAGGTCTTTTGCGGTGATGGCTGGGGTCAAGCCGGAGATGTGTATGCGCTTCGTGATGAGTTTATCCATTCCACCCTAGGTGATATTGAATTTCGAACGTTGCCAAATGGTACCGCCAGCACTAGTATACGCAGAAGTGGCAAGTGTGGGACTGCGAATAGAAGGTAGATGCTCGTCATGACCAGCAGCCGAAGCAAGTCGAGCATGCCAAGGACGCTGGAAGCGCCCGTGTAAATTGCTCCGGGTGGACGGTCCAGGTCTTCCGAGATTGCCGATCCCCTTCATGGTGGCATACATCGACGGTCACTTAGGAGTTGAAGGAAGTGACTCGCGACCTACGTATTCTCCATCTTGCACATGACTGTACAAACACACATCTTGAGAGCGTCGACCACAGGAGCATAGCTCATGGAAGATGTGTTTGATCTGCTATCCGGAGACCCTCAGTGTACAGCGCGGCAGTGATCAACATCACTCGAAGAATGGGCGGAGAGGTTATGTGGAGCTACACCTCCAACGACCCCGAATCGCACTTTCCCCAGCTGGGACTCTCATAGGGACTGCGGCTAACTCGAACTGCGTAGCTTCAAAACGCGTTATCTCCAACGCCCCGCCTCATCCTCTTCCCCCGTGGTGACGCTCGCTATATTCGTATGGGTAGTAAGTATAGGCCAGATAAGCAGCATGTTGGTGCGTCCGTATTTATTTTGAATGGAAAATGAAACGACTGACTCAACAATCCGATTATGAGGTATACCAAGGGGGATGATATTGACACCGGCCCCAAGAGCTACAGCCCGGTTCCTGAATAGTCACAAGAACAGGTAATTATCGTTGCAAGCTCAAATGGGTTCACAAGATGACAAAAAGTGGCTGAAATATATGACGGCACGCACATATCCTCCCTAATTTATGGAGTTTCGAATCACCGGGATTGATCTGCATTTCTGCTTTATCTAGGCGGCTACTCGAGCAACAGCCGTGCAACAATTTGAGGTTCGACCTTCCACGTGCCGTCAACATCGAGAAGCTATCTTGCGGAAGAAAGAACAGATATAAGGTATACTCTGGTCAACGTCGTAAGTCCTCTTACGAACATCAATACATACATGATGAGGGAATGTCCAGACTTGGCCCGATGTAACGAGTGGTGACATACCACGCACTACAATCCGCTTTTCCCTCAAGAATCTAACATACTAGAGGCGGCCCGAACGAGTAAAGGCAAAGGCAAAAAGAGCAGCTACCCAAAGTAAATCTGTACGTGACTGCTGCGGATAGCCGGCTGCATATGAATGTAACTAATTTGCCTATTCCTATGCCACATGTACGTGTAGTCCACCACCAAACCATCCTTCAATATCCGGGAATTACCTGAGCGAGTAGGTTGGAGACCATGCACTCACGGAAGTACGAATGCGAGTATCACGAGAGGGCTCGAACGACTCCTCGCGAGGGATGAGACAGAGAGGACCTAGTAAAATAATGCTGCGACACTTTTAAACCATGGTGCGTCTGTTCATGTGAAACTACAATAGTACGCGCTTCGCCTTCGATCACTTCTCTGTTCGTGTCCTTCAAGGTCCAACAAGGTCCAACGCCATGCTATGGCTTGTCCGTTGCTTGCCCCGCGTCTTACACGTGATCGTGGCGACTACGTCAAGCGCCGGGTATCGCGCCTGGCGTTCGATTCCCCAACTCCTGTTTGATTCGCTTTCCCGCCCTATGGCATGCATCCATATATTGCATGTCCTGCCCTCCTTCATGAGCCTCGATCACAACCCAGCGGTTTCTCCCGATCTTCTGCTTTACGAAGACGCTGTGCGCAACGGGCTACGGACACGCGCGGAGCTTGTATTGGCAAACTTGAAGGAGGAGGGAGTACTTGACGACGAGCTGAGTGCGGAGGGTGGCAGCACAACGCTCGGTATGTTTTCCGAATAATTGTCGCTCGGATTCATGCTGAAACACGGGTGCGTGTCTACACATACACGTAGGCTGTGCAATTATCCTCTACCGCGCGGCCATCGAATCCACTACAAATCCTCCTGCCATTTCCCTTCCTTCCACCACAGGAAGACAGTCCATAACTCTTTCGCAAGAGAGTTGCCCCCGCGCCCTTCGTACCTTCATTTCAGTGTGGTCTCAGATCACCCCTGCTATCATCGCATTATCGTCTGAACACTTGGAAGACGTGCGCCGTCTCTTGTTCGGCATGCATCCGCTTTCGACCACTTGCGACCCCCATCTTGAGGCAATCGTTCGCATGTTAGAACTGGTTGCGTTCGTGCTTGGCACGTGGTGCATGCGTCGCGATCCACTCGCAGGCAGCCATGCATCGGCTCCTGTCGGCTCTCCAGCACCGGAGGTAGACGCCTCGGGATGCAAGGACGAACCTTCCTCCATGCCTCGCACGAAACGCCAGCTGAGCAAGAGCGAGAACGCGAGCCCTTCGACCGATCGTCCGTAGAAGCGCCCAAGAAAGGACCCAGCTTTCCGACAGGCAATCCTCGCGAATGGGAAGACGGACGACCCCCGTGAGATTCCCTTGGAAGCCTCCATGCCCCCGCGTTGATAATGATTCTGATGTCAGATCAATCCTCAGAAAAGTTACCAGCGGAGCTAGTGAGCAACTCGACAGCGAGGCCGCATGTCCAAGTCAAATGGTCGTCTGTGACTTCTTCGAATACGGGGGCTCGCACCCCTTTACCGCTGCCTCTGGGCAGGCGGCCAGTCATTTGGGCGGCTGTGAGTATCCCTGGCTTTGGCATGGACAGTACGTAACAATTTCATCAGAATCGAAACGAGCTATGCGCGGTGTTGCCTGAGATGGGGCAAGCTCAGAACAACATCGCCTTCGAGAACACCCAGACCCCGGTGCTGTTCATTGACGAGGCTTGCGATGAGTCAGACCGGTGGGACGGAGGAAAGACTATACATTTGACGATGTGCGTCCCTTTTTTTGTTTTCCTGTGACTCCGCTCTTCATGCGTGCCGCTGTCACAGGACGAGAAGATTCGAGTTCCAGGCATCTCCTGCACTTCTCCAGCTATCCCTTAGTCATGCTCTGCCGACACCGTCTCAGCCAATTGTAGATGTACCTCCAGAACGGGCAACCGATGCCCCAGAACTTGATCAGGACGTCGTCTATAAGGATGGGTTTTACGTCTACACAAACGAGGTGGACGAACCCGTCGCGCAACTCTCGTCGGCATCCAATGAGGAACATGCAAACAGCACAGCACTCTCCGATGTGTGTTCCCTTCTTTTGGAGAATGCGCCCACAGAGATTTGCGCGCTGATTCGCGCACGGGAATCCCGTGTTCCTGTCAATGTGATTTTGTCTCGCGGCGCCGGAATTGCGGCGTTTGCCTTCCCAGATGGTTGCGGATGCGCGTACCTTGGGTTCTTCTTTATCACCAAGATTGGTGTCACAAGGGTAAGCCCGCATCCACATGCACCGCGTGAGTAGGTGGCTGAGGTGAGCTGACGCCAGTCCCCATACTCGTTGGGCGCGAACGCCGAAGAGTCGTGCATCTATGGAACCATGTCGTTGACCTTGGATCTCGATTGGACGCCTGGTGGAGAGGATCCTGATGCACTTGTCGCCTCGAACTGCTTGCCGTGGTGGATGCAGGACCATTCCAAGGCGTCAGAGCACGATGTCGACCCCATGCGGTCGGAACCGGGGGAAACGATCTTGATTGACAACTCGGGCGTGCCGCTGCAGCACCCGTACACCCTCCTTCCACTCCACTTCCTTGCCCCCTCATGACGAATGGGCGGTGAAATCAAGGGATGGCACTGTGGGACGTGTGGAAGATTGAACGTCCAGCCCAATTTGTGTACCCAGCGGTGCGGGAGCTGCTCGGTGAGTTTACGTTTACCTTTTCGTGCTGTCTTGTTCCGCACTCTAGGGTATGTGAGAAGACGCTAACGAGCCCTTCGCCGATAGACGTTCAACCACATTCCTCCCGTTGCTGTCGAGCATGTTCGACCGTCTCGTGGCACAGATCCTATCACATTTCCGTGGAACAGGCACGCGGAATCGGTGAACTGTTCATCTCCAGACGCTCCCGATGGGCTGCTCAGATTCACATACAAACTCACGAAGGAAGCCTTTGTTCATCACATGTTCAGCCGCAACCACACAGCGGTGCAAGCGCAGCCGACACAGCTCTTCTTTGAGCTGCAAGTGGAGGTGGAGCTCGTAGCTGAACCCGTCGAGAAGGTCGGCAGAGGTGCGCCCTCGGTCGTTTATGCGGCAAGTTTTGGGGGTACCACAAAGAACACAAAACCAACGGACTTATGGTCTTCCGATGTACCGAGCTGTGTATCTTGCGCGCGAGGGTTGATGTTGCATCGTGGAAAGCTGGAGACATCTACGTCCGCAGTTGTGATCAACCGGCTTGTCATCTGGGCATGGCGAACTTCCGGGAACAGGAAGGTATGGTTTTCTCTGAGATACCTCGTTCGGCGCATGTAGTTATGACGCTGAAATATCTATGCAGGGGCTTACGCTTGATGCGGCACAGTCCCCAGTCGTTATCCTATGTCTTGGGGCGGATGTTGAGTTGACATTCTTTTGTCCGCGGGAGCCGGATGCTCGGCGCACTGCCCACAGGCACAAGGCCAAGTCCTCCAAGAAGGTAGTCGGTACGGGATACGAGATCGATGGGGACTATCAAGATGAGAAACATGCGACGCGTTCGGTCGCAAAGAAGCGGGCAACTGGGCGGAGAGGGCAACATGCTGAGGAGGCCCTAACGACCACCCTCGTGCATGGCGATTTGCTCGTCATGGAAGGTGTTGTATTCGAGGTCAGTTCCTGGGGGATCATATGCTTCCCGCTAACTGATCTGTCGGCACTCGGCAGTACACTTTGAAGAAAACTGGAATGAGCATATGTGAGTGGTCGAGTACGCTTTCCTCTTGTCAAAGCGATGAGCGTCGTCCGTCCCTGCAGTGTTGATCGGATCGCAACTTTAACCAAGAACAAGCCATTACTGGTATTACTACTCTTATATCGTGCTTTAGCTATAGATACAATTTCACAAACCATTATATGCTACAGGATGTTGAACCCAAGCGCACTCGAACAATCGTATCTTATCCATGCCACAAGACTTAAGAAGTACGGGAAATGCACCAGGATACTGGGCGCAGTCTTTGACAATCAGTGCCTGAGGACTCCAAGGATTGGCTGGAGGCTACCGCGCGTCACGTGGTGGATTTCAATCAGCACGATGTCAGCTAAGCTCAGCTCCCGATCCGAAAGGTATTTGAGTGGGTTGCCTATCATTCTCTCGTGTTCCTGTCGAAAGTCAAGTCATTCGAGTCATGCAAATTTTCGAGTTTCACACGGGCGGGGGACGCACCAAGAACCTGTTTACCTCTCGCGCGATCACAATTGCAAGCTGGCCCATAGTGGGCCGTGCATTATTCGCCCTAAGTATTGTTGCTTGGTGTCCCCAGTTCATGTGGTGGCCCCAGTTCATGTGGTGAGTAATCTGGTCCGGACATCTCAGCTCCGTTCCTCCTGGCTCTACAGATAACTCACCTGTATCCGTACAGACATCTTCTGACGTAGCGATATGAAGTCAGGGAAGGCGGGTCTACTGTGTCCGGGAAGATCACTGAGGTCTTCTCTCAATGCCTTGGCCAGATTGAAACCTCCGAATTGCAAAGGGGGAGACAGCTGAACACCCGGCGTCGTACCCGCCGTGTAAGGGGTTTGCTCGAGCAAATCGTAGCGTGGTGGGCTGTTAGAAGAGAATTCCTGCATCGAAGATGTCAGAATCGACAGGCAAACTCTGATTCTGCAGGGACACCACGGATGGCACCGGGTGGCACTTTGACTGATATGTGGTTTACGACAGGCGCCCTATTTCACTTTATCCTCGGGACGGTGATCTTCCTTCCTAGCAATTCTGATCGTTGTCATGGACTTTCCACCAACCTCCCAAATCTCATGGAGAAAAACATCATTGACAGGAGGAAGACTCACTGCTATCGGGGGTGGGAGGTCGTGCACGAAGCCGATGTTCGCCTCATAGAAACCCGGTGTCGCGATTGACGCTACGTCCTCCATGCCCCTAACGTTAGTTGTGGTACCAGCGACTCCGTTCCCCTGACCGCGAGACCGGTCTCGCTGAAGGTGGTGCTGATTGTATGGGCCAGCATTAAAAGCGTCAGGGTGTGGGAACATTTTGACGATAGGCCGCAGTTCTGAAAATCTGTCAGCAGGTAGCAGGAAATGCAGACAGACCGATCATGAACACATGCCAAATGAATCGAATGATAGTACGGTAGCTTGGAGGGAAGCACCTCTGAGGAACTAGATTGGAGAAGGGAAGACGAGGAAGAAGAGAACTTGAGTTGCGTTGATATAGCGGACGGCAAAGCGTGCGCTTCAGGAATCAGCTGTGCTCATCTGTTGCGCCCGACGTACGGACAGGTATGAAGAGGGTGCATTTCAAGGGAGTGATCCAAGCGCGGAAGTGGTCATCGCACGACCGACCAGTCGGGCACAGTGACTGCTGCAGCGGATCGTTTCAGTTTTATCGACATTCTTCCACATTCGGCTGACGGGGACACGCACGCAGGGGAACCGCCCTTCTGACCAGCACTACGGATGTCAAGCTTGCCTGGAGTTGCTTGTGGTCCGCTTTGAAAGGCCGAGGCACGCACACCATGAATAGGAATGATGGTTGACCTCGGCCACCGTGTGGCACCTCGGACAATATGTGAAACTCGTAGACAATGACCATAGAAGACGAACAGATGACAGCGGCCCCGCTGGCACAGATGCGACGACGTTCCGTCACATCCTGAGTGTGATATTGTAAAAGCGACAGACAAGCCCTAATTGACTGGGACATTGCATCCTGCGGTACACATACGTACTCACTTCCCCCTTATGATACCTAAATGCGGTGGTGAGTTTAGGGCATCTGACATACCAATCACTGGAGGCGAGGTGTGATCCTGGGTGGCCATGAAGGCGTTGATCTCATGGCAAGCTGTACTCAACAAGGTCCGAGTCGGCGCCCGGCAACTCAACGAAATCATCTGCAACCACCGAAGCGCGCTGGCATTGGCATTGACAGAGACACGCACGGAGACAGAGTGTCTTGACACTGTTGATCCGGATCGGCATTCGCACACTAAGCAAATCCCCTCACAGGGCAGTCGTTAGCATCCTCTTGTCCTCCGGAAGCGGCCATGTGCGTCAGATAACTCTACCGCTGAGTCATTATCGGGATACCACACAACCGCATCGCAGTATCTAGGATGTATCTGGATTTTGCAGTTCGAGGGAGCCAGCCCGACTGACACGATTGGCTTTCAAGGAATATGTCGCCCGAAGACAGTCGAGTCAGTCCGTCAATTCTCCGGATTCAGCTCGTTGTACAATCTTGAGAGCGACAACGGGCTTGGTGAGATCAAGTCTTCGGGGTAGTCGGGTACTGCCTCCAAGAATCGAGATGCTGGCCCAAGCATACCTGTATGAACAACAAAAAATACCATTGATATCGATAGGGACCACCGTGCGCGGTTCCATCGGGTTCCACTCAGTCCGAGTCATCAGTGTTCGCAGGTTGAAGCTGTGACTTACCGACAGTCGTACATGAATAGCGAGGCCTCGAAAACATCACAGATATGAGCGTAACGTCAGGCGAAGACTTGTTACGATATCGTCTCTATAGCAGCCGTGCCAACTTATCGTCACGACCAAAGGGCGAGGTTAACAAGCGGTGCTACCACACTGGTGGTACATTGGTCAGCCTGATCAATGTCTGCCGCGGAAGGGAGGGGGGAGATGGATTTCCGGTGGCATTCTCGAGAAGGGCCTGTGTCAAGACATGGCTATAAAAGTTGGAACATGGAGGACGCTGTGAGGAGTGGCACATCGGCACTATATCCTGACATGCGTTGACAAGCTGGCATCAAATGTTAGTCGCAAAGACGAGCAAGCACGGCGCTGTGCCACGCTAAGCTATGTAAAAGAAGATCAACAATGAGCTCGATCTTCGCGGCATGCGGGCACCGATGAACGACAACAGTACTGCCATACCATCATGTACTCAGGCAAGCCATCCGATGATCCATGCGACCACGTCAACGCTATGTCGAAGGTGGAGTCGGCGCCAACGGCGTACATAACATAAGAGAGGTAATCCGCTTGTTCAGGTGGTAAGCGAACGAGAAGCACAGACTATATGTTGAGAACACGATGTGACGATGAGGCGGAAACGATTCTTGAGATAAGTGATAGCAATAGTGGTGGCACGGAGATAGCTTGCTATGATGTTCTGACGCAGGAAGGGAGTCCATGCGGCCTGGTGGTCTAGTAGTATGATTCCTTCTTAGGGTTAAGAACCATCTGGAGGAGGTCCCGGGTTCAATTCCCGGTCAGGCCCTTTTTGCTTCTGTGCATTCTGTCCCATCATGAGCCCCAGTTAGGAGGGTGCGGTCAATCGAAGACTGTTGTTGCGCATTTCAGCTAGTGGCTGGCTTGGGTTGTAAATTGTCAGATCGATGTCATGCAATCTGTGTAGGCAGCGACAGACTGCGCTACAAGGTAACCCGTATTGTACAATTGCCATATAAGCACATACTGCGTCATGTACTTCGTCTCGTCCCTCCAATGCTCACACTTGGACTATCACAAGTAGAACTGTATCAGTTTCCCGCGGGTGGACCACCGCGATACATACCCCTCCCGGCAAAGCCAACCCTGAACGGATGCATACCCCTTCCTCGCCCAAAACCGATTGGCATGATGTGAGCCATCGTGTCACCAGGTGCTGGTGGCTCCTCCTGCTCCGCTCCACCTCCATCTTGGTTTGCAGGGAAGGCGTTAGTGACACGCTCCTCTTCTTCCTCTTCCTCTTCTTGGTCAGGCTGTGGTTTCGATACGGCATGTCAGCGAGAGAGACAATCCAGTGACAAGCATGGAGAACGTACATCAAGATCGATTACCAACGCCCCGGTGTGCCAGCCTAGCGCCGCGGCGGCGAAGCAGTACTTGACCCGCCCCCTCTTCTCCCCATGGTCGAACCGCACCTCTGTCGGCACCTGCACATCTGGAGGGGTGCGTATCAGACCGTACCTGGGGCGCACCGCCTGGTTGCGCGCCTGCTCGGACGGGAAGCCTCCCGGCTGGCCCACCTCGATTTCGAGGGGGTCCCCAAGACCGAGCGCGCCCTTGGAGAACTGGCCCCAGGTGAGGAGCTTGCCGGTCGCGGTGAGCGCGCCGTAATGGTAGTCGCCGAGGACGACAGAGATGACGGACCGATTCTGCAGCTCGGGGATGATGGTGGGGGCAAAGTCGTTGGTGAAGGGGTCTGGGTGAGGGACATGGGCGGATTGAGGGGGTATGCCTTTACCCATAAGCACGGCAGACGTTTTGCCAACGGAATACGCGAAGAATGTCTCGAAGGACGCTGAGATCTAAGCAAAAGAGTTAGTCGTGGGTGGGTGGGTGTCTCTTACGACGTACATGGGTAATTAGCATGCTGTCAGGAGGACTGTAGCTCGGACTGCTGTTATCGCTGGTTGTCGAAGCAAACTTGTTCTTGATCTGCTGTACGTCACTGAACAGTGGTAGCTATTCAGAATCACTCGCATGAGTGCCGAATCAGGTTACAACGTCAAGGCTCTTACGTATTCCCAGCGACCTTGTTGATATTCATCTTCCCCATATAGTTCGCCATAGCGCAAAACATGGCCCTTGTTGGTTAGCCCGATAATGTTGTTGTCCAGCGCTGCGATCTTCACCAACTTCGTTTCTTCGTCTAGTGTCTCTTGAGTGAGACCAGTATGTGGCAGTGCCGGAAGGCTCCCGGATGGGATTGGGGGAAGTCTGACTGGGTCGGCTCCGTGCAACACCCACCAGTAGCATGGGACGACGTTCGGTTCCGCTTCTGTGGGTCGCGCCTTTGCGGCGGCCTTGAGCTCCTCGTTGTCCAACTTATCCAACTCTTCTGCCTTCTGGTCAATGATTTCCTTCAATCTTCCGCCATTGGGCCAATAAACGAGGACGTCGCCCGACTGGGTGAGAAGAGAAGAGAAGGACCATCCGCTCTCGACTTGGATTGGGGTGGTTTCGGGGCTAGACTTGTCGACGAGGGCTGAGCTGAGACGGAACGGGCGGCCCCATGAAACGAAGGTCCAAATTTGAGACGCGGCATCGATCGCGGTGGTATGGAGACGTCCGCAGCTGGCGATCGATGTGAGCCACAAAATTGGACGCGTGTAGGAGGGGTGTGATTACCTGAGACTGCGGAACTTCATTGGCAACTTCAGCCGCACAGGGCGCTCGGCTTTCTTGCAGGGGTCAGAGAATCCATCGCTGCGCAGCGCAATACTAGTTCCGTCCAGCATACCTGCTTAAAAGTGAGGCGTGATCATCTAAAGGACTTCGTTCGGGCTCACCCCACACATAAATGTCTCCACGGGAGTCTATAGCATGGAAGGACCTAAACATAAGTGGTGGTGAGAGAAACTCGCCTCGAAGATACATGCACATACATTCCGCCCGCAACGAGAGAGACGATCTTCGCACCAGGAATGTTAAGACGGACTGGGTAGGGAACACCGTCGCGGACGCCGGATCGCGGTGGATCTTCAATACCAAGACGACCTGCACTCTTCTCCCTGGAAGATAAGTTAAAGCAATTGACGGCTGTAATGAACGATTTCAGGTAGCCATAGAACGTACCCCCAGACGTACACGGCCGGATTGCTGAGGCGCTTGTAAAGGAACTTCCACCCGCTGTGGCGAGCAGTGTCGGCCCCCGAGAAATTGAAGTCTTGTCCAATTCTCTGGTGCCACAACGCCTCGTCATTCACAAGAGAATTGAAGAAGCGGTTGATAGCCCCAAAGTTCAGGAGGTCGCGGACAGGAAGGTAGGCGAAGATGTCGTCTACAAAGAGTTCTACGGGGAGATCGGCGATTCCAGGCATCTTGATACGGAGGAGGAAGGAGAAACAGTAAAGAGGAAGCTATCTGGTATGCTCGTAGCTCTAGGAGCAGCTGAGGGAGTCATTGCAGGAATGAGTGGCCTGCGGCGTAGTTGGCCTAGCTCGGAGCTATGCACAGCAATCCAATCTAATCTCCCTTGCAAAGCTAATCTAAGATGGCACGTGGTGTCTAAACAAGCGCGGTCCCGGAAAGCAGCACTGGCTCAGGTAGGCTGAGCTCGTCCGACTTGTACGCAGTTTCCTTCCCCTCTTCCCTTCCTCGTTCCCAATATCTCCCAGGTCAGCGCTGCGAGGAGCGCATCATGGCGTCTGCGGCGCCCTCGACACAAAATGATTTCCTCGAGGATATCTTCCAAGGCCTGAGGAGCAAAAGCCCTGAAGTCCGCGCACAGTCTGCTCTGGACTTGCAGCGCTATGTATGTTTCCTAGGGCCTGATTGCACTCGGACCTGCGTCCTCTGACTACGAGCAGATCTCTAGCACGATTCCAGAGCTCTCATCTGACGCAGCCGCAAAGCTTTGGGAGGAAACGATCAACAAGATTTCTCATCTCGTCCATAGTCAGACGCTGAATGAGAAGTTGGGAGGCATCTTGGCCATAGGTGTGTGTGGTCGTATATGAGCCCGTTTACCACTACCGAGCAACCATGCAGATCATTTACTACGTGTTGAGGCCGAGATTGAATCCAAGAGTAACCTCTTCCGACTCTACAACTATGTCAAGGCTCTCCTGCCTGACAGCGACACCAACGTCATGCTCGCTGCGTCGAAGACGCTTGGGCACATTGCAGCAATCAGTGGCCCCGCATTCGGTGGCGACTACTTCATGGATTTTGAGGTGCAGGCCGCTGTCGCATTGCTCCAGTCAGACAAGCAAGAGTACGCAAGGCACGCCGGGGTGCTCATCTTGAAGGAGCTCGCTCGCAACAGCCCGGCCTATTTCCATCCACACATTGGCCTTGTCTTCGACAAGCTTCTTGTGGCCCTCCGAGACCACCGAAACGTTGTGCGAGAGAGCGCAGCAGAACTTCTGGCAGCGTGCTTGGAGATCATCTCTCAGCGAGAGCGGGGGGCGAGGAGTCCGTTCTTGCTCAAGATCTTGCAAGACGCGCAGATGGGGTTGAAGATGTCGCAAGTCGAGGCTATTCACGGATCTCTCATGACATATCGCGAGTTACTGCTACACGGCGGCATGGTACGTGCTCTTATTTGGATCCCGAGTATCGCAGCGATGCGGTGTGTCGCGCTCGCGTGGAACATCGTCTCCTGTCCTTACTGCTCCAAATTCACCCACTCCTTTTCGGCTCTGATTTATTGTGCAATTGTACAGTTCATGAAGGAGAACTTTCTCGATGCCGCGGAACAAATACTGTCATTCAAGACTCACAAGGAATTGACAATCCGCAAGATGGTCATCACGCTAATACCTACCCTCGCGGTTTACGACACTCAAACGTTCTCGGAGCACTTCTTGCACAAGGCCATGGCGCACCTCCTCACCCAGCTGGATAAGAAAGACGAGCGCGTAGTGGCTTTTATTGCCATCGGACACGTCGCGACAGCCGTGGGCAGCGATATGAAGCCTTTCCTGGAGTCGATCATGATGCACGTGAAAATAGGCTTGCAGTCAAGAGGGTGAGTGCATCTCTTCTCGCTGCTAATGCAACATTAGATAACTGGCGTGTCTTACTTGCAACAATATTTCGATCTGCAGAAAAAAGAACTCGCTGTCAGAGGAGCCCATCTTCCAATGCGTTGGCATGCTTGCGCAAGCTGTCGGCCCTAATTTGACGAAGCTCCTTCATGACCAACTGGATCTCATGTTCGGGTGCGGTCTTAGCGAGCCGCTACGCCAAGCTTTGGTCGCTATTGCCACCCACATCCCACCTCTATTGAAGACCATTCAGGGTAAGCTGTGCACCAGACATCGCTTCTGACAACGTGTATAACTTTACTTGATAGACCGATTACTTGATCTTCTGTCAATGGTCCTTTGTGGACAGTCCTACCGACCGCTAGGTGCCCCGCCGTCATTACTCCGAGGCGATTCTGGGACTGCGAACACGGAGTCCATACCAATTGATGTCGCCAATAGCACGAAGAGTCCTGAGCTGATCACGCTGGCCCTGACGACTCTGCACACATTCGACTTTAGTGGTGAGTGCAGTGTCCCGCAATAGTGATGTAGCCAATGGGCTGACGATAGCTGGTAGGCCACGTACTGAACGAATTTGTCCACGATTGTGCACTACCATACTTGGACCAGGACCATCCCGAGGTCAGGCGGGCTGCAGCGCTGACGTGCTGTCGCCTATTTGTGCGGGACCCGATTTGCTACCAGGCTAGCAACCACTCTATCGAGATAATTAGCGACGTTATCGACAAGCTTCTGACCGTCGCGATTGCCGATCCTGGTATGGCTCCTGCCATAGCCAAGAAACGAGTACTGATCTCCGTTGACAGACGCCAGCATCCGACAAACGGTCCTTTCTTCCCTGCACGAACGCTTCGACAAGCATCTCGCCCAGGCAGAGAATGTGCGGTCGCTGTTCATCGCCGTCAATGACGAAGTGTTCGAGAATCGTGTCACCGCCGTCGCACTGATTGGTCGTCTGGCCATGCACAACCCGGCCTATGTCATGCCCTCCTTACGGAAAACTTTGATACAGCTCTTGACTGAGCTCGAGTACTCCGGTGTCACGTACGTCGTCGGTCTTCTATCTGTGCACTTTCATTGAACATCGCTCCCGACAGGCGCAACCGGGAAGAGTGCACTCGTCTCCTCACCTTGCTCGTCAACGCAACCCAGCGTCTCATCAAGCCGTACTCCATTCCCATGCTTAAGGTCCTGCTTTCGAAGGCTAATGACCCCAACCCCACGGTCTCCGCGAACATACTCATGTGCTTGGGCGAGCTCGCCTGTGTTGGCGGAGAGGACGTCATGCCGCACGTACCTGACCTCATGCAGGTCATCATCTTCAAGCTCGCGGACCCGTCCTTGCAGAAGCGCGACGCCGCTCTCCACACTCTCGGACAGCTCTGCTCCAGCACGGGTTACGTGGTCCAACCCCTGGTCGAGTACCCTCAACTCCTCCAGATTCTCAGTAGGATTCTCCGTACCGAACTCAGCCAGGCTGTCAGGCGCGAAGTAATCAAAGTCCTTGGTATTCTTGGTGCCCTCGATCCCTACAGGCGCAAGATCAAGCCCGAGGACGAGGCTGCAAACGAAGTATCGTCGAATCTAGTTAGCGCACCGTCGCGAAATCTTACCGGGGCGTCGACGGCTTCGGACGACTACTACCAGACTGTGTCTATCAACGCCCTGCTGAATATCCTCAAGGACCAGTCGTTGAGCAACCACCACCACAAAGTCATCGAGGCCATCATGTCGATTTTCAAGACTCAAGGGCTCAAGTGCGTGACGTTCCTTCCTCAGGTGAGTGACGTCCGATGCATGCCACTTGGTTTCGCTCAATAGGCTGGACCCAGATTATTCCAGCGTTTGCCGCAGTGGCAAGGACTGCGTCTTCTCGCGTTCAAGTCTTCCATCTGGAGCAGCTCGCGATCCTGGTTGGTATCATCAAGCAGCATGTCCGCAACCACACGACAGAGATTTTCAAGCTCGTACAAGATCTCTGGGACAACGTTCTATTACAGCTGCCGCTCATGTCGCTCGTGGAGGCCCTAGGCAAGGCGCTCGACGCGGAATTCAAGCCGTTTATTCCGATGATCCTCCCTCCGATTCTCAAGGTGTTCGAGGGCGAACTCAACGAGAAGACCAGCAATACGCAGATGAAGATATTTGACGTCTTCCTCACGTTCGGCGCGAACATCGAGGAGTTCCTTCAGCTCGTCATTCCTCTCATCGTCAAGACGTACGAGCGCCCGGACGCGACCACGGCGCTTCGAAAGAAGGCGATCCATACGATTGAAGGCCTCACGAGGCGCGTGAACTTCTCGGATCATGCGTCGAGGATCATCCACCCGTTGGTTCGTGTGCTGAACACCGCGAATAACGAGATACGCCAGGCAGCCATGGATGCGTTGTGCGCGCTGATGATCCAGCTCGGCTCGGACTTCGCCATCTTTCACCCGACGATTCGCAAGGTACGCTTCTAGTAGATCAGCTGTATACGAACGTTTACTAATCGTAACTCAGACCATCTTGCGCCACCGTATCTCGCATCACAGGTACGAGAATCTCATCGACAAACTCCTCAAGGGCGAACGGCTTCCACAGGAGACTTCTGTCCTCGACCTGTGAGTTCACATCATATCCAGCATGCAGCACCTGTTTGATTGCGACTCAGTGCTGGTGACAGCAACAAGTCTGCGGATTTCCAGGCACCTGCTGAGGCCACCAAGATGGCCGTTAACCAGCAGCACTTAAAGCAAGCTTGGGATGTCTCGCAAATCACAACGAAGGACGACTGGCTAGACTGGATCCAGAAGCTCTCTGTCGAGTTCATGCGCGAGTCACCTTCCCATGCTTTGCGTGCGTGCATGAGCTTGGTGGATGTGCACCAGCCACTCGCGAGGGAACTGTTCAATGCCGCCTTCGTGTCTTGTTGGGGAGAGCTGTATGACCAGTACCAGGCATGGTTTGAGATTTACTGCTTATCCTCGTTCTGACATGGTCTTGTAGGAGGATCTTGTCCGCTCCATCGAGTTTGCGATTACTTCCAGCAACGCGCCTGCAGAGCTGGTCCACAGGTTGCTTAACCTGGCCGAGTTCATGGAGCATGAAGAGAAGCCCCTTCCAATCGAGAATCGCACACTCGGCGAGTACGCGATGAAGTTTCACGCCTACGCAAAAGCTCTCCACTACAAGGAGCTCGAATTCTTCACCGAGACATCTCCGACGATCATCGAGGCGCTCATTAGTATCAACTCGAGGCTGCAACAGCATGATGCAGCCTGGGGCACTCTACTCATCGCGCGCGAACAATATGATACGACCAAGCACGAGGAATGGTACGAGCGGCTCGGTCGCTGGCAGGAGGCTCTCCAGACGTACGAGAAGCGCGCGCTAGAAGATCCTGGCGCTCCAGACATTGCCATTGGTCGCATGAAGTGCTTGCACGCGCTTGGCGAATGGGATCAGCTCGCGAAGCAGGTCGACGAGAATTGGACGACTTCGAGCTTAGAAGAGCGTAGAGAGATTGCACCAATGGCTGCTGCCGCCGCCTGGGCATTGAATGACTGGGAGTCGATGGATGACTATATCCAGACAATGAAGCCTGACTCTGCCGACCGACCGTTCTATCGCGCGATCCTCGCTGTCCACCAGAACCAGTTCCCGAAGGCAATGCAGCAGATCGCGAAAGCAAGGGATCTACTCGACCCTGAGCTCACGTCTCTGGTGGGTGAGAGCTATGGTCGATCCTACAAGTACGTTTGTCCTTGGCGTCAGCCCTGGCCCGCCGCTCAACCTATTGTAGCACAATGGTCCGAGCACAGATGCTCTCGGAGCTCGAGGAGATCGTCAATTACAAGCAACACGCTGATCAGCCGGATCGTCAAGCTGGCATGCGGAAGACATGGATGAAGAGGTGAAGTTATCCGGGGACTGTATATGCGCAGTCCTGACACCTTCAATTAGGTTGCAAGGATGTCAACCCGACGTCGAAGTATGGCAGCGCATTCTGCAAGTGCGCGCGCTGGTGCTTTCTCCTGAAGATGATCCTGTCATGTGGATCAAATTCGCCAACCTGTGCCGCAAATCGGAGCGCATGTTCCTTGCCGAGAAGACGATCAATTCTTTGCTATGGCCCGATAGGGTGAGTTCGTCTGGTAATTTGATGTTTCGCATTCGCTTACGCATAGACTCCCTGCAGCATCATCAGCCCCCTGGCTACCGCGAGCAGCAGTATTCAAAAGCGCCTCCTATGGTCATCTACGCCCATCTCAAGTGCAACTGGGCGAAGGGCGAGAAAGAGGACACGCTCCACTACCTGCGCGACTTCTCGGCGAAGCTGGCTCGTGACATCCAGAGTGGAACGACACCCCGCGCTGAGCCAGTCGGCAACAGCAAGTTGGAGGAGCTGTCTCGTCTGCTGGCCCGTTGCTACTTCAAGCTCGGCGAATGGCAATTCGCGCTCAAGGAGGAGTGGGATGCAGTACGTTACCCCTAAACCATCGTGAATTTCGTCATTGACGTCAGGAAATTCAAGCGTAACATCAAGGACATTCTCCAGTCGTACTATCTAGCAACGCACTACGATCCTGCATGGTACAAGGCGTGGCACACCTGGGCGCTGGCCAACTTTGAGGTCGTCAGCTTCTTGGAGAACCAGCAGTACAATAAGATTGGCGAGGTTCCTAGCAACGAGCTTGCAGCCCACATCGTATCCGCCGTCACCGGTTTCTTCCGCTCAATCTCTCTGAGAAATGAGAACGCCTTACAAGACACTCTCCGTCTGCTCACGCTGTGGTTCAAGTACGGTGCTCATGATGATGTCAGCCACGCTATGAGCGCTGGATTCACCGATGTTGAGGTCGACACATGGCTCGAAGTCATTCCTCAGGTATGGGACATCACCTCATCTCTCCAACGACGTATTCACACTCTTCTAGATCATCGCCCGTATCCAGACGCCGAGCAACAACATCCGCCGCAACATCAACAACCTTCTTACCGAAGTTGGCAAGCATCACCCGCAAGCGCTCGTCTACCCTTTGACGGTCGCTTCAAAGTCCTCGAGTGCAGTTCGGAAGAAAGCCGCTCTCAACATTATGGACCGAATGAGGGAGCACAGTCCAATCATTGTCGAACAGGCTCTCCTTATCAGCCATGAGCTCATACGAGTCGCCATTCTCTGGCACGAGTTGTGGCACGAAGGTCTGGAAGAGGCTTCCCGCTTGTACTTCACCGACCACAATCCTATGGGCATGATCGCCTTCTTGGAGCCCCTTCACGACATGCTCGAGGTATGTCATATCACTGGTTTGCGCTGCAAGGTGCTGAACGTTTGCCTCAGAATCCGAAGACCGCTCGCGAGATATCGTTCGCTCAAGTGTTCGGTCGCGACCTTCATGAAGCCCGCGAGGCTTGCAGACGGTACACCATCTATGGCGAAAAGCGTGACCTAGAGAAGGCTTGGGAGATCTATTACGGAGTAAGTCCTTCCTGACGTTTGACAGGCCCGCGAACTAAACAATGGCGCGTTCAGGTGTTCAAGAAGATCGAGAAGCAGCTACCGCAGCTGACGACGCTTGATCTGCAATATGTCTCGCCCGAGCTTCTCAAGGCGAGGAACCTCGAGCTAGCTGTGCCTGGTACCTACCAGAGCGGCAAGCCGGTCATCAAGATCCAGAGCTTCGCGCCGAAGCTCACTGTTATCTCCTCGAAGCAACGGCCGCGTCGGCTAGGGATCAAGGGAAGCGATGGGAAGGACTACCAATTCGTCCTCAAGGGTCACGAAGATCTGCGGCAAGATGAGCGTGTCATGCAGCTCTTCAGTTTGGTCAACGGCCTTCTGTCAGTGGACACCGACTGTTTCAAGAGACGTCTACACATCCAACGCTTCCCTGTGATTCCGCTTGCGCCCAACGCAGGTCTTCTGGGATGGGTGAAGGACAGCGATACTCTACACGTGCTCGTTCGGGACTACCGGGAGTCGAGAAAAGTATTGCTAAATATCGAGTATCGACTAATGCTGCAGGTACGTCGACGCGAGCGCTGCCAATTTTATCAATTGACACGGTTCATCAGATGGCACCGGACTATGAGAACCTCATCTTGCTGCAGAAGATCGAGGTATTCGAATACGCGCTCGAGAACACCACCGGTCAAGATCTCTATAGAGTCCTCTGGCTCAAGAGCGTCAACTCAGAACATTGGCTGGAGCGCCGTGCGACATATACTCGGTCACTCGCCGTCAACAGCATGGTCGGCCATATCCTCGGTCTCGGCGACCGTCACCCATCCAACCTCATGCTGGAGCGTAACACCGGCAAGGTGGTGCATATCGACTTCGGTGACTGCTTCGAAGTACGTCATTGACATGCCGTCAAATATTGCATAAGATTCTGTTCGTTGACACGCAGCACGCTAGGTGGCCATGCACCGCGAGAAATTCCCCGAGAAGATACCCTTCCGATTGACCCGGATGCTCACCCATGCAATGGAAGTGAGCGGTATCGAAGGAAGCTTCAGAAACACATGCGAGATCAGCATGAAGGTCCTACGAGAGAACAAGGAATCCCTAATGGCGGTACTCGAGGCCTTCGTCTACGACCCGTTGATCAATTGGCGATTGATGCAACCTGATGTCGAACGTCGAGCAGAAGGTACGCACACCATCATACATCTCATCGATGCGCGTCATACCCCATCCGCGGTTCCCTCGTTCGAACCTCTACATTCTATTGGCCCAGCCATACACATTGTTCATGTTCCTGTCTCCGTTGTGGCCCGATCCACGCCGCTGGGTCCTTACGTGTACACCCCCATATTTTAGGTGACAGCGGCCGCGCGGCGGACCTGGTTCGCGCTGCTGCGTATCCCACCGCGCCGATCCGCAAATTGAAAGCGGACGAGAACGACATTCTGAACGGTACGTTCCGAGATTTGCGCGCGATTGCGTTTGTGAGACTGACGAGATGCTATGCCATACAGAGGCGCAAGAAGTCCGGAACGAACGTGCACTGTTCGTGTACAGACGCGTCCAAGATAAGCTCACAGGTACGTCATTGTCCGCACGCCTGTGTTTCTCTGTTCATAAAGTTGATGTGTTGCGCCTCGCGCTGGTGCTTGTAGGACGAGACTTCAACCCAGAGGAGGTGCTCACCGTGCCTGCTCAGGTGGACAAGCTGATTCTGCAGGCGACATCGTTGGAAAACTTATGCCAATGCTTCTCCGGATGGTATGTTCATATTAGCGTATTCGCAATAGGCAGAGCTAACCATTGTGTCTGCAGGTGTGCTTTCTGGTGATTGTCGAGGGTCTTTGGATTTCTATCGCATGCTTTCAATGTACTACTGTATACCTGCATGGTCTATCGCTGTCTAGTCTCTATAATAGATTGTATAACAGTTCTTTCCTCACGTTCTTTGATCTTCGCGTCCCCCGAGATACTATCCTTGCGCACAATTAGCTGGACTCGCGGTCGCGCGCTTGGACTACGAAGCGTACAGGGGCAGGTAGAGAACATCTTCGCATGATACGCCTAGTCCGAGCGACCCTGCGCGGCTTCTCGTATAACACCGAGCCCAAACGGAGGTGGACGGTGGGAGGATGGCAGTGGGGAACCCGGGATGGGCGGGTAGCGAGAGGGCGCGACCGCCGCCTGTCACACGGTCGTCGAGGCGTCCCAGTTGCTCGCTCGTCTCACACCAACTTTAGGCGGTGCAACGATGTCCAGTTCTTCCACTCCCGCCGCCACCAGCTCCCAGCCTGAACAGCAGTGGGGAAGAGGTAGTTGTTTCCCTTCTGTGTCACCGTAACGTTCGCTCAATCGTCGTTTGCGCTCCTGAAGTGTTGCTATGTGGAGGTACTGACTGGTGAGTACCACCCCCGTGATTCGCTCTTGGCCTGTGCCTGTGGCTGCGCCCCCCGCCCCGCGTGGTCATGATCGTGGAGCCGGAAGTGGCCCATGGCAGAGTTCTGCAGCTGAGCGTAGCTGACGGTGGACACAGGACGCGACTGGGCAAGAAAGACAAAGGAGGGAAGAAGAACCAGGAGGACGGTACCAGGTGTGTTCTCAAAATCAATGTGGTCTTACCCCTGATGCCCAACGCGCCTTCACAGCACTGATCTACCCGAGCCCCACATCCTCCGCTCGCTGAGTAACGTCCAGGCCGTTTCCATCCACACATCATGCGCTGGCTGCCACTGTGTCGTCCTAGACGTCGACGGCGTCGCGTGGATGTTTGGGCGCAATGACAAGTCGTGCATGGGTGTCACTGGAGTGGATGCGATTTCGGAGAACGAGCCAAGGCGGTTGACCGCGCAGGAGCTAGGTGCACCGAAAGGTACGCGTTTCGTGCACGCGGCGTGTGGACGAAACCATACTTTACTCGTGGGAAGCGATGGGCAACTGTGGTCGGCTGGGCAGAACCACGCAGGACAGGTATGTCTATTCAGTTGCGGGAAAATTGTATTTGACCATGAAACGTGTAATGCGCATAGTGCGGCCACCCCGCATGTCCGGAGATCCCGTCCTTCAAGCTCGTTAATGGGCCCAAGTTGAGTGGCCAGAAGGAGAAGGTAGTCATAGCTGCGGCTGGCATCACCTTCTCCCTAGTCCTCACCGACAGTGGGAAAGGTCGGCAAGTTTTGTCCGATTTTGCTGAACCGTTCTAAGCGTTGGTACGCAGTGTTCGCATTCGGAAGCGAGGAGAAGGGCCAACTAGGTAATGGTCGAGCAGGCGAGCGCATAGTGTCCGCAGGAAAGTCTGCTTTCGACTTCGAAGAGGAGCCAAGTAAGTTTCTATCCCTGATCCTCCATCCCCGGCATCTTATACATAATCTCACGTCATTCAGTTCTCGTCAGGGGGCTTGCCGAGCGAAAGATCGTCCAGATTGCCTGCGGCCCCCAACACGCGATCGCGCTCGACAGTGACGGGTACGCGGACCGCTCATGCTTTCCTTCAAAAGTACTTCCTTGTACTGACGCTGAACCCTCGGATGAGCAGCCGCGTGTTTGTCTGGGGCTACAATGGCTACTGCCGCCTTGGTCTGGGGAACCAAGTCGACGCTCTCGTGCCCAAACAAGTGCCTCAGTTCGCTGGTCCGAACGAACTCACTATGGGTGCCTACGTCGTGGCCGGGCCATCAAATTCGGTCGTGATCGACAAGCAGGGCATGTACTGGATGGCCGGGAAGTGGAAGAACACCGGTGATGGTGCGTGTGCGATCCGGTCATGATGCGCGTTCGCAGGGTCCGTTCTGACGCTCCATTCATGGTGTAGGTTCGGGCGGACAGCCGTTCTCGACCTTCAAATTCATACAGGACATCATGTGAATAAACGCTTTCACACTATCCTTGTCTGAATGGTTTGCTGACTGGATGGTTACTCATAGGGGGTGCAAGATTATCCATGCCGCGTGCGGCGGTGTGACGCACTGGGCTCTCGCCCAGGAGGACGACGGTGTGATGACTATCGCCTTTGGCCAAGGCGCGCTCAACAGCGAGCTCGGGCATGGCCCCGACCAGCCCAAGAGTGCGACTAAGCCCATCCAAAACAAGCCTCTCGCTGGCATCGATGTCATTCAGTGCGCCCATGATGATCCTTCTCTTGGGAATGCAATATTAACGATGATGTTCAATTCAGAGTAGCGGCAGGGCAGAACACGACGTTCCTCTTAGCACGCCCGAACGAGAAGTTCTCCGAACTGCCCCGTCATCCGTTCGACGTGAACCCGCCGGACATCTGCGTAGTCTGCGACCAGGACAACGGCGAGGACGACTCTCCGCTCGAGTGCGACAAGGTCAGTTGCATTGCTCGCCTGTGACACTCGGTACCGTGACAACGCGTTTGCTCTGCAGTGCGATTACCCCTACCACTTGAAGTGTCTGGACCCGCCGCTGGACGCGGTGCCCGACGGTGAGTGGTTCTGCCCCGAGTGCAAGGCGGAGCCCGGGGCACCCGTCTCGACAGACGGCGTGCGAAGGAAGCCGAAGGTCAAGAAGGCCGCGGCCCTCGACGAAGACGTCGACGGGTCGCCCAAGCCTGGCCAGAAGCGCAAGGCCGCATCACAGTCTAGCGGTACGTCGTCCGGCCCTTCCTCGCGCACTGTTACGCACCCTAAAGCATCCCACACGCAGCTCCGAAGCGCAAGAAGTAGCCTGCATACAAGGCGCGGGCCCGCGGGGCGTTACGCCCGCCATACGTCCACTTTCACCCTGGGTCTTTTTTTTCATCTCATGTTCCTCCCTCGTATATAGTACACGGCTTTCTTGGATGGATGTAATACTCTCACCACTCACCCCCTCCCCTCAACGGTATGGGAACACGCGGGACTATGTAGTCGTCACCCCTTTAATATATCAGCACTGTATTATACGGGTATCTCCCACATAGACAAAAACCGGACAGATCGTCCGCGGCCCCGGCGGGGTAATGCGCGCCACGTATTCGTAGCCGTCGCACATACCGTAAGTATACGGCGCACGCTGTAGTAGCGTCTACAGACCAAAAACATACCGCAGCCCCGTCTACTGGAAGTACGTGAGCAGCACCCACGCGAACCCAAGCGTGATCGCAAGGACGACGAGGAACCCGCCCGCGACGTACAGCAGCAGCGCGACGGTGCTCAGCTCCTCCTGCGCAGGCTTGCGGTCCTCCAGCAGCCCGTTCGCGCCCTTCCCGTTCGCGGCCGCCGCGCGCTCGCGGTACTCGAGCATGCGCTTCTCCTTCGCGAGCGCCTGGTCGCGCGCCTCGGCGGCCTGGACGACGCGCGTGCGGACGTCGCGCGGGTCGTACTGCACGCCGCCGGAGACCTGCTGGAGGCGGACGAAGGAGGGGTAGTGGCGCTCGCACCACTGCTCGATGCGGCCGCAGGCGACGGAGAGCCGGAGGAAGGAGGGGTCGTCGGGAAGCGCGCGGGCGTGGATGCGGCGCGCGTAGTCGCGGAAGATGTACGCGACGTCGCGCGGGTTCGTGGACTTCATGATCAGCTGTTGTGCGATGGCGCATGCGGTCAGCGAAGAACATCGGGAGGCGAGAGAGAGAGAGACGTAGAGAGAAGTATAGGGGGAGGGGAAAACGCACCGAGGCGGCCTCGGCCTTGCGGATCTTGATGTGCCGCTGGAACATGTCGTAGTTCATGAAGCACAGGCTGAGGGTCGCCATGGCCATCGTCTGGGGGATCGCGCAAAAGCAGAAGATGGACTGCTTCGTGAGCAGGCGCAGGTAGTCGAGCGCGTCCGTCGCGTGGCCGAGCACGTCGACGACCATCCCGCTGAGCACCCACAGCGCCTGCTTCTCGTTGCCGGGCGTGTAGAGCTCCGTGATGTCCGCGAAGCCGCCTGCGCGCCCGACCGCCTTGCCGTAGAGCGCGGCGCCCCAGACCTCGCGCGGCCAGAAGAAGCGGCGCTCCTCGGCGTCCTCGCGGAAGTCGCGGATGATGTTCGTCTTCTGGAGGAGGAGGCCCATGGCGTTGGTGAGCTCGAGCTGGTCGCCGAGCCACGCGGCCTCCTTGCCGGACGCGGCCCAGAAGCGGGTGAGGCCCTCGCCGACGAGGCCGGCGACGTAGTGGCAGTAGAGGTTGTACTCGTCGACGGTCTCGATGTAGAGCTCGTCGGTCGCCGCGGCCTTGTGCGCGTAGTCGGCCATGCCGTACTGCATCTTTTCGGTGACGTCGAGGATGATCTCCCGATAGCTGTTGGAGGTGTCAGTCAGGGTGTGTGTGCGGGCGGGAGAGGAGGTGGAAAGAGCGCAGCGCTTACCGTGGGTCTAGGCGGTTGAGCTCCTCGCTCACGACGGTCCATTCGACCAGCAGCTGCCGGTCCTTTTCGTTGGGGCCGCACTCGTCGAACGTCCAGTCGGGCTTGACGGCGAGTTTGTGGAATTGTCGGAGCAGCGGCTGTTTTTTCTCGTCGGGGATCGTCATGTCGTCTTCGATCGTGTCCAGTCCTCGTAGCACCAGGTAGAATAAGCAGATCTGGGCGAAGACGGACGGTCAGCGTTGGTGTGAATGCTCGCATTTCCATATGCCGTAGCGTGTCCCCGACAGACTTGCACCAGTGCACGACGTCCTTAGCACATGTGACGTAAGGTTTGCGGGGATAGGGCGCACGCGCGCTGAAAAGGCTGCTACAAGTCGTAACGAATGCGGCCGTCGGACTGCGGGCTTTGAATGCGTGTATCGACGTCGGGTGCACGTCGGACCCGCAGATACGCAGTGGTGGAGCGAGCTCACGAACGCTGGCCTTCGCTTCACGCGAGCGACGGGCTAGCCACACCTTCCAGAAGCGGAAACGCGCACGAGCCGTTTCCTCCGCGCACAAATCCGGGCAGACGTATTTGTGCGAGAGAGAGACGCGCCCGGGGGCAGATAAAGATATACAAAAGCACTACTGACCACTCTCGCAAGGTCCCCTTCGACCTCCTTGATGACGCCCGAGAAACTGCGGCTGGTGAGGTCGAGGAAGTGCCAGCAGCGGCGCATGGTTGGGCGGTCCCATCCTGAGGTGGCATGCTCGGAGGGCTGGCTGATGTCGCGTTTGGGCTCGTGCCAGAGCTTGTATTGGAGGAGAACGCGGAACTCGAAGGGGTGGGTGAGGAGCAGGGCGAGCATGGACGATGCCGTGTTGCGGGACATTATGAGCGTGAAGGGGAGAGTAGAATAAAGATACAGCTGTTGGCGTGAGGAGGCTGGCGGAGGAGAGGTGGGAGGACGAGAGAGAGGTGCGGGGGACGAGGAGGTAGAGACGCGGGGAGAGTGCGGAGGATGAGTGTGTCTGCCTGCCTGTCTGTGCCTTTGCCGCGTCGGTGGCCGCGACGGTCGTACCACCACTGTTTCTCCACCCACGTGACCCGGCCCGTGATCATCCCTTGCGCTTCCGGCCGCGCCTGCGCTTGCTCCTCCTTCTCTTCCCCGCCATGGACCTCGACGTCTCATTGACCCCGCCCCTGCGCATCCACACCATCCGCGTCCAGCAGATCTCCTCCGAGGTCGCACAAAAGAGGCTCGACAGCTTTCTCCACCGCTTCCGCACCCGCAGTCTAGCCAAAAACAGCGGGGAGACCACCACCTCTGTCCAGCTGCAAAAGCTCGCGGACGCCCTGAACGAGGAGCATACCCAGTCCGGCTGAGGTCCGTGTGCTGTTCTCGCATGCACTCGGCATTCTGGGCCGACTTTCTGACTTGATTTCAAGGCCATGCACGACTCTGAGGCGCTCGGCTCCATGGAGAACATCCGCCCGCCGTTCCCTCCCCTCATTCTACCGAGATTCTCCCTCTTGACGAAGGTTTTCGAGCCTAGCTGCTCACGAAAATCGGCATCTCGTAGCATCTGCCAAGTGACGGACAGCAGGCTTGCTCGCGCCGAGTGCTCGCATACGTGGGGCACGCTGTAGCGTCTCGTCCCGTATGCTCCAGGAGATCCCCCTTGTAGCCAGACGTCCACTCTTATCGGTAGTAGAGCGTATCAGACACGGTTCAGGCCGACATGCTTCGCAAACAAGCTCGCTGCTCCCAGAGGCAAGCGCGACCGGCGCGCACGGAGAGGTGCGTCTCCGCGTTCCTCTCGGCAGCCGCCTCTGTCCAGCCGCATGCAGACGAACGTCTCAAGCCACCGCAGAGGGCCTGGCAGGAGCCAACTACGAGTCAAGCGGAGCATGATCTCGCGCAATCCCCCATCTGTGCCGGACCAGCATCATTCCGTGGCCCGAGTCTCTCGCAAGCCGGGAAATACGCTCCCGCCAGGACGCAGAGTCTAAAGCGCATGGCGCAACGCGCAGTCTGCGTTACCCGCTCGGGCCAGCACGGAGGTGTACGTCAGGAAGCAACGGGGAGGAGGTACCATCCGCTCTGCCTCCACGTTATCGGTCGACTGTGACGACGGTGCTCCGGAGAGAAGCACTGGAGACTCGCCTGATACGGTTGGATTTCGACGCCATTACATCGGAGTAAGGCCCAGACGCAGTCGTAGAGGCACGCTGTCCTGTGCAGACTGCGTCATCGACTTTCCACGTTCAATTGGCAGGTCATCGACACCTTCCTACGCTTGATCCTGCCTCGCATCCGACGAGAAGTTAACGGAGAGAAAGCCGATGCCTATGAAGTACCTGAGGATTAGAGAGATACATAGCGTTCATCTCGGTGGCTGGTTGCTCAATGTGTGACTGCGTTGCAATTATACGGATACCATCAAGTCAGCGTGGTTTCTGGCACAAAAACGAGTACGACATGCAGGAGTACTCGCCAAGGAGAGTTCGGAACAAAAGGGCCTGGCCGGGAATTGAACCCGGGACCTCCTCCAAATGCTCCGAAGCCCTAAGAAGGAATCATACTACTAGACCACCAGGCCATGAAAGACTCTTCCACACCTGCTTACACAATCATCCGCATTCACTTAACTCTTGTCGCGATGTCTGTACATCCTTGCCCACCTCGCTGTTCGCATCGATATTCTATACGAGATTCCAGGACGAGTAACTCCCCTCAATCTCCGCAGTCACAATAAGACTTGGCTCACATCTCGAGCAATCAGGTAAATACAAAGTAGACGTGCGCCCGGAAGCGCGAACATATGTGCAGAGCGTTCTCCGAGCCAACATCCGCCGTGTGCTCTAGAACAGAACGGACTATGAAGTGTTCCCCCTTTGAGCAGGCTGTCGAGCTACAAAGTTGCAAAATTGCTTGTGCCTCGGCGGCGCATCCTGGCTTTCTACGCTAGTCATTCCTCCGCCAGACCTTACTGCTTTCGTCTGCGTCGGCAGGAGCGTCCGACCTACTTCCTCTCTGCGGTGGGTCCTCGACGCCGACTCCGTGGGCCTGCTGTTGAACGGGTTTCCCCTACGGACCGTATCCTGCACTTTCAACCTCGACTCGTCGCTTGCCACTGGTGGGATCGTTCGTCGCGCATTGCTGTAGCAGACCTCTCCTCCCTCGCGTCGGCTTTTCGTATGGCGATGCTGCAGAGGCGATCCTGATGAACGCGAAGCAATGTCTTTGCTTTTCCAAGGCACTGATATCTTCCGTCAGCAAACATGTCAGCCAAAGTACCCGACCTCGACGGAGTTGGAGTACCCATCACTAGAGATTTTGATCGTTCGGATTGTCACTTGTGTCTCGGGTGTGGACCCGAGGTCCATACCGACTCCAGCACCATCTCATACACGTGACCCACGACTTGGACATCGTCGCCTCCACGTCGGGCCTGTGTAACACAAGCCTGCGACCAGCGGCCTGACCGATCTTGCACCGTTCGGATTGCTTCTCTCCCTCCGTGCACTCAAGCTCACTGCCCCATCCCCTTCAGATAACTACACGAGCCCTTCCGCTCCACCGGTCTTCGCGCGACAGAGTACGCAAAGGAAGAGTGCGACGAGGCTTGCCTGTTTGCCGCTTCTGAGGGTGCATGCTTTGGGAGCGACTCGTTACATTCCTGCGGCGGATTACTGGATGATCTGCTGCGGGCCCATAGCTCGAACAGTTGAAGTCGAATCTTCCTATCGGTTCTTTTTCGTGATGACAGATCTACAAGGGACAAGGAGCACGCAGGATCAGTCAGCAGCCCATGTGTCTTGCGTTAATTCGCAGGCTCGGGTGGCTAACCTTACGGTGAGCGCGTCGGAAGGTTTGATGTGGATATTTGAATCCCGTGATTTTGTGGTTCGTAGTATCACCGGAATCGCTATTGAGACCGACACCAAGATGGACCTGTTATGCTATCATCTCAACGCTATTGCTTTCCATGCGCTTTATGGTTTGGGACACTTTAAGGAGGTGGACACTCATGAGTTTCGTTTAATTAAAGATGACACTAAGCCTATAAAGAGAGTCGCGGTATATGAACGGCCAAGGCAACGCTAAATGAGATGTTCAGTGGGGGTATCGCGTCCACCGTCGTCTGAGTCCGGTCCATATCACTGACAATCCCATATCATCCAAGGACGACAATCGTCCAACAAGTTCGAGGACACAAACGACTCCGAGCCCACCGCAAATTCAAATGCCATCGGGGTATATGTACACCGCTCGAATGCGACCGATCGGAAGCGACTCGGATTTGGGACGAGCGGAGACAAAAGCCAGACGCGAGCCGATCTCCTCGCGGCAGAACTTCGGAGCTAGCTCCCCCCCTCCCGCTGCCCAGCACCGTGGGGGGAAACATCCGGCGCGGCACAGTTCCCGCGGATCCCTCGTCTCGAGAAACACGCGTCGATATGCACAGCACCCAGGGACGCACGTCGGCGTGAGCTGGACAAACAACGGACGGCGTACCTTAGAGACCTGTGCCTCGGTACTCCCGCAGCGGCGTCCGAGGCGCGCAGTGCGCCTCGCTAACCGTAAACAACGGGCGTCATGCTTGACGTGCGGAGGACGACGCGGCATCTAGCGCACGTACCGTGGTTATGAGCGTGCGAACCGGAGCCAGGCCGATCGAAGGAACGAGCCTGCGTAAGCGTTCGTTTACCTGCAAGGTTTAATGAGTTATCTGCACCTGATCGCTGACTGTGAACGTCGAAAGGGCCGAGGCCGTCTCGACAGCCCAGATTGGCATGCAGAGACGCTGTACCAATTGTCTTGCGGGTGGAGCTGCCCAGGCCGTCGTTGGAGGGCAAGCGACCCGTCGATGCAGTATTTTCCAGGTAAGAGATAGGAAACCTCAAAGGGTAAGCCTTACAGGGTCTGCAAAAACGCGGAGCGATGTGAAGTGTAAGATCTAGAATCGAGGGTGCAAAATTCGCGAGTAAGAAAATCACCTTCGCCGTGCTTCTGTGCATCTCTCAAACCCCACCAGCCTCCGTGTTGTGTCAAGTCAAATGTACCTAGAACTCATACACGGTGTATCAGTCACCCGCCAGAAGGAGGTAGGAGCCCAGGAACAAAAACATACCGGATTGGACACTGGGCGGGCGGATAGCCTTCAGAGTCGTGCCTCGAGGTCGCCGTCCCCCTGGAGCTGTCAACTGGGCGCTGTGGATTCCGAATGTCTGCCGATTTCACGATCAGCTGAATTGGTCTCGACAAATGTCGGAACTGCCGTGAAAGGATAGGTCAGAGCCAGAACTGCCACCCGTGACTGCTTCCGAACGCTGGAGAGAAATGACGCGCGCCTTCACAATAAGGATACCCACTGAAGGATCACATCATATGCCCGCCCAGCATGTGCGTGGACAGGGTGTAGATGTGGACAAAAGCATGGAGTACGAGAAAGCTATGCCGCCGGCGAGTAGTTGCCCACGACCTTGGCCACAGGGGGTCAGTACCTCAGCACACATCTGGAAATCACATCGATGTAAGTGGTACAGTCAGGACACAGGTAGGGAAGCGTACGAGAGATGGGAAGTCGAGCGATCCGTTACATTGGGCCATCGCGTCAACAAGGGAGGCGTCCGTGGGATCATGCGGCACTAAACCATCAAAGTGCATTAATCCTCAGATAGAGCGGGTACCCACTGCTGCAGCTGACAAGGCGAAACTTGACAGAGCAGAACGCCACGGTGATCACAGAGCGGCCGTCATGAACAAAGGCCATCCTCGACTCGGTGGTAGGCGGGGGAATGCGTCTGTTACTCATGATTAGGGCGCACGCGACCGGACGCCGTATACCGGCCGTCTGCGGCGACATCGCTGAGTCGATTCCATATTTATCACAGTATCACAGATTACACCGATCCTGGTCCGTGAGTGTTTCGGATTGATTTTGATAAATATAATCCCAGAGTGTAATACCTTGTCATGTAGCATCGTTGACGTTCTCGGCTCAAGGCCTTGCTGGGGCCAAGCGAGCAGACCTATAGAATACGCTATTGTATAAGTCCGTATCAGTGCTCACATACAACATATTCCCTCACTTTGGTCAGGGGAGAGGACAAAAAGCAGAAGTGAATGCCTTCGCTCAAGCCGAGGACGTAAAACCGAAGCACGAGTTGCGATCAGTCTACGACGTCGCCTGCGCAGGTGATCTGTGCCTGTGCTGTAGGAGTCATCTCGCATCTGCGTGCGATGCTATACTTCATAACGGCTCTGTCGGACACATTAAAATACCGCTCAGTAAGCGGCTGGTCAGAAATCCCAGTCAGAAAGCTACAAACCGAGGTCATTTATCGATATGTATCGAAGAGAGGCCGAGCAGTTCCTGTCAGATTAATCACAGCCGTACAAATGTGACAATGCTTAGGGGACACACCGAGATGGCGAGGCCGCCGCTGCTATTACAGAGGAACGGTCAACGACTTAAGAGATGGGGATGACCAGAGATAGTCCCATCCATCCGACGTTGAGTGAAGGCGCTGCGCCGTTTGCTACCGCCGTGGCCTCGAATGCGCGACGCAACCGAGCAGGGTCCGATTGTGCAGCCGAGAAGCGGCGTGCAAGACACGCAGTGATACAAGATAGATGACCTGCCTCTGCTCCTTTCACAGTCGCCGCCCAAACTCCACGATCTCGAACGCCCTGCTGACGTCGCCAACGGCTCCCCAGGGCTTCTTCCCCTTCCAGAACGTCCCGCCCCAGGCATCGACCCAGAGCGTCGGACCGTGGAAGCTGGACGGAGTCTCAGGCAGATGCACGATGGACGACGCCGCGGGAAAGGAACTCGGCCAGAGAACGTTTGGAAGCTTCCACCGGCCAGGAGTTCGCTGAAACCTTCTTCCTTGAAACGTGATGTGTGCGGCTTCGGGAATTCGAGAAAGACGTGGCGAGGGTTTGCGCGCAGATCACTCACCGCGGCACGGCCTGCCCGCCGGCGCCTCCCGGACCCAGCCCGCCGCTGCCCTTCATCTTTCCCTCCTTGTCCGTTCCTCCCACTTCCGCTTTGACGCCTTCGATGGCTCGGCCACCTGCCTATCCAACACCGAATTCCCGTCAGCTGCGTCCTCTCTCCCCAAGTACTGCGACGTGTCAGAGCCCTCGACAGCAGGCAATTCGGCTGCCTGGCGGCCTTGGAGTTCATACAGAACCCGAGGTGTATGTATACCACAAGCTTTTCTTCTTTCTTCCGTCTCTTTGTGCTTCCCGCGGGAGTTCTGCGCCCCGAACATCGTGTCATCATACTTCCCGGAAATGGAAATCCGAGATAGACGCATTCGTACTTGCTGCTCGCGCTCATCCGGATGCAATGTTTTCGCAGGCTTGTTTCACGGCGCGCTGTTCGTGATATCCTTTCCACGAAGTGAAGCAATGCAGAACAGGGGTTACACGGGCTGGATCTTTACAAGGAATACCCACTGCTGTCCGCTCCAATCGCTGCCGAACAAGCAAAGCAGGGCGCGACATAGCGTTATGGTCGTCAGTCTCTCACGAAACGCTTATTGCACGCTCAGTCGCGCTGGGACGGCTTCCGCTTCCAAGGCAAACTATGACGGCCGCATTGCGCCCGATGATGCTCTAGACCCCTCTGCCATAGCGGACTCTCGACACAAAGCATCGACGGCCCGCGACGAATGGGACGCCCGCCGCTTCATGTGGCGTAACGGTCACGTCGCATCCAATAAAGTCTGTATGTTTGTGACAATTTCCTCCTCTGAGCGCTACAACAACATTATTCCGCACTGCAGCAGCTGACTATCAGTCGTCAATCATCGGACTCGAGCTCTGCGTGGGATGCACGTTCCCCGCCAACGACACAATTACGCGCGAACGTTCCGAGGTTGCAGCCGTTGGTGACTTGTCGGAACTAGAACATGCCGCCATGTTCGATCGCCCTGATGTCAGGACCTCTCTTCCGGCACAGCGCATCATCCATCGGGTCCCGCTCAATATCAGGCGAGGGCGTGTAATCCCCGGAACCGGTGTGTCGAACTGACGGCTCTCAGGAGGCTGGTTCGCTGATGTGGCTTAATCATATTTCCCTATCCTTGTCAGGGCGCATTATCGCGATCGTGCCCGACCACCGAAAATGCGCGTTCGTTTGTGTTTTCGCCCTCGATACAGAGGCCAGGAAAGTCCGGCCCACACGTGATCCGGTCTTAGGAGCTCGGCCGAGCACGGCATTGGTCGTGGGTCGCTACGAGTCGGACGGCGTTAAGCAAGACGAACGGCCGAAGGATATGCGTTCTGAGTACCTGCCTTCCATGCTTCCTCCTCAAAATAACTGCGCAGCCTATCAATCAAGCCGCATCGAAGCCCGAAGCAATCGCCCCAGACGCACACACGAAGCCGCTGTGGAGGCCCGCTTCTTGTGCTTGGGCGATGCGGACATGTTCGCTCTATGGCACCTCGCAAGCAGCTTCGCTCGATATCACAAGCACTAGTCCCCGTGCCGCTTGGTACGTGGCGTCGCTGCCGACGCAGGGAGTGTCGTACTCCGTGACATGATGCAAAGCGCGCTTTGCGCTGCGTCTCAATAGGGAGCGACGCATAACCCCGCGAATATGCGTTGCCGCCCTTGCGGATATGGGAGGATAATTATACCACCGTGAGTGTCTAGTAGGCATTGAAAAGCTGACTGCCCGGAAATGGCACATACAGTCACGGAGAGAAGAGTTGGGGCTGACGCCCAGCTGCCAGCAAATTCCAGCGTCCAGTCTGCTGCTGTCCACGGAGAACACTGCGTTACCGAAAGGGTCTGTACCAGGCGGGCTCATATTATTGGAAGCGAAACGGTCCACAGCTGAGAATACGTCGTTAGTCTCTTGCGCGGGAATGCTCGCGGTTCCTCAATGAACGCTAATCCTGCTTATAGGTTATCCTTCCCCGTCGTGATCGCGACCTCGATGAAGCCCCGAAGTGCGTCGAGACTTCGAAAGAGCGGAGACACTCAGGATATCTCACTTCCGTCGTTCATACGGTGGCTTTGTGCAGTCGGGTCTCGACGATATCCACCCCGCCAGGCTGTCCGAGGGTCTGCCTCTTTCCGCCCTAGGAACTAAATCCCGCGCACTCGCCGCCTCAAGCTTCTTCGCGCTTCTTTTGGCGCGCCGTCCGTTGCAAGCGCCATCCCGCCAGCCGCATGCAAATCCAGACGTATACGGTCGCAGGCGGTGACATGCTTGCTGGGAGAAAATGCTGGGGGGACCAAACAACGCTTCCGCATGGCCTGGCATGAGGTAAACCAATTCTTCTAGGTCGTGCACCCACAAGGGTCTACAACGCCAGAGTGACGCGCAGAAGCACCTGCTGTAGCAGTTCCGTGTGTCTCATGCAATCTGCTTTCGTGGGGCGTACGGTCGGTCATCACATTGGCAAATGTCTCGTATATGCCGGACGCGCATCCAGCGCGATCAGCAAATGGCACCCATGGACGCCCTCTTTCGCGCCCCGGACCAGCAGCGATCACGCAACGATTCGGCTTCCTTATGTGTCCCCGGCCGAAGATTAAGTCACATATTGTCTCGCCGGACGCTCGCTCTGTTTCCAGACGAAACGCCACGCCTATTTGTCGTGCGCCGCTCGATGAAACAATTTGACAATTGCAGGGCTCTAAACGCTTATCCTGGATACCCACTACGCGCCTCCGGCATACAGCTTCTCATGCATCTCCGCGCCTTCGTCATTCTACGGCTTCACGCCCGGTAGCCCGTGCACCTTTTCGCCGCATATTCCAAACAGACTCGAGCTGCGAGCGTGCCTTCCTCTCGGTCCTTCTTTTCCGCGCCTTCCAGATCCCAAGAGAGGTCACGCCTCCATCTGTGCGCTTCGCTCTTATTGTCTTGCACTTCGAAGGCTTTCTCCTCCTTGCTTCTCGATTGATTCAGGCTCCGATCCGGACCCTCTCGTGGCGCATTTGGGTTTGGTCTCCCGTCCCGTTCATGCATCTCCGTGTTCGCTGCTCGTCCACGCTCAGCTGCCCACCCGATATCTATGGGGCCGCTGCAACGTGTTACCGCTTTCACGGCGCACGCCCCGCGTCCGCGGCTGCGACTGACTATCTACACACACGCACGTCGAGCACCTCACGGGCACCCGTCTAGCTAGATGCAAGCATCGCACGAAGGCGACGTGCACGATATCGCGTCCACCTCGGAACGGCGCGCACTACGCTGCCTTGGCCCTGCGGCCTGCCAACAGAGCCCTCCGTGCGATCGCAGTCGTGATCCCAGCGGGCCGCGGGAGAACAGTTCATCCCCGTCCCCCCCATCTCGCCATCCCGCCGGCCGCAATCGCACATTCAGAGGTCCGTCCTTCCTTCGCTCCGTGTCCTCCGCATATGCGCTCCTTCGGGTGCACCGTTTCACGTCTCTAGCACTTCTATATGTCTCGCGGCCGGGCCACCGCCCCGCACATCTGCAGACGTGGCTCTGACCGCCCACGCGCAATCTACCCACCCAATTCTTGATCTAGCAGGCTATTCAAGTGTTGTCGGCACACATGGCGCGCAGAACGCAGATGCATGCAGTGACATCATCCTTGCTCGGCTCGACCATGGCTGCTGGCAGGGTCTACAGGCATTGCCACGCGGTCCTGATGCTGGCATTGCTTCTGGATTTGCTCGCTCACAAATCACCGGATGTCGAGACGCGGATAGACGTACTTGCAGACGCGTGTGTGCACATACTACATGTCAATGGTTGAGGACCCTCAAGCCATGTTTGCTGTACGGGCGGTATATAACGCAGCCCTCGCTTTCTCCTTATAGCCTTCCGTTTGACTGCGTCCGACGGCTGGGCACGAGCCGGGTGACCAACTGCCGGGTAGGCGCGTGAATGCAGCCATGACGCAACCCTAAGAACCCGGCCGTAAGCTGCGCGCGCGCGTTTTCTCTTCAATGCACAGTCTTCACGACCTCAGGAATAGACACCGCTGGTCCATCGCCCTTCGACTCGCGGCCTTCGCTGCGATCCCATCCAGCACGACCATCTCGTGTGCCGTTGCATCTGTCACGCTTTCCCGAGTCTGCGAGGGCGACCCTCCCGCCGTTCGTACGCTCGCCTCTTTGCTCTCCGCGGCCGCATCTCGTTTTCGATCCATGAAGACGGCGTCGGACCAGGCGCTCCCACGCTCATAGACGGGGGTACCCACGCCGGCCGTGCTCTCGACTGCACGTCTCTTCTGCGAACCCTCCAGCGGCCTTCCCTGCGACGGCCGCAAGCTTAAGAACAAGAAGCCGGATGCAGAAAGTCGAAAGGCAGAAGCCCGCGCGTGCTCACGTCCGCCCGCTTCCCAGGCGTGCAGCCCGAGTCCCGAGTCCCCGTTCTCCCAAGCGAGCTTCTGTCGCCGAACCGTGCTTCGCACAGCTGGCAGCCCTCTGACGGTGAGAGAGTGATGAGAGAGTGGGAGATTGAGAGAGCCTGCAGCGAACCCAGGGTGATGGGAAGCAGGAGCGCACACGTGCCCACCTGTGGATGCGTATGTAAACACGAACCTTGATTCTGGGGGGCTTCTCTCGCCCGCTTCTCTTCGCACAAACCTCCCTCTGACCTCAGCGAGCCCGGCCGGCCGTTGGGGTGGGGGCTGGGGCTGCTGAGGGTCGTGCCGCTCGCCGTGGAAGGCGCCCAGCAGGACCCGCGCGCCGCTGCAGTGACGGGTGGTGGCACAGGCACTTGCAACCGTGTTCGCAGTCTTTCCTTCCGTGCTTCTCAAACGCGTACGTACGCCGATCGCGGGCGAGGCCGCTCGAGCTCGATCACCCGCGCTCACCGCAGGCGCAATCGCAAATCGCTATCGGGCCTCGGAGCGTATGCGGGCAGAGCGCGGCTCGATGCGTACGCCGTTGCGCGGCAGACGCCGCGATCCGTCCAATGGGCGAAGCACACATCGCCCTGAGACTGCAGTTCTGGGCCTGCGACTGCCCGATCTTGTGGCCGGGATCGAACCTCGCTGGGGGAACAAACGGGCTGAGCGTGATGTGCCTCCGCCTTGGCTACGAGTCGAGCTGGGAGGAGCATACTCGCTGCGCGAACGGCACGAGGTGTTGGGCCCCCCCACCTGTCCAAGTGGCTTTTGTCGCGATTGCGATCGCTCCGGGAAGGCAGACCGCTTTCATGTCCTGTTTCTGGAAGCGTGTGCAAGGACACGAGATACGAGATGGTCGGGGTTCGCTTTCGCTGCGACTTCACATGCGAGGCGGGCAGCGCGCATACTACGGAGGAACAACAATAGATCTTGAGTCAATTTCGGGGTGATATACACTATATACATCTGGTACATTGCCATTGCCTGCGGACTAGTGGTGTACAGTAAAGGGGGAACAGACCGAAACGAGGGCCCGGTTGGAGCATCGGTGAAGGGTAGCCTATAGGAAGCGACGGAGTAAAGAAACACAAGGAGGCCATGTGCTTGAACGAAGGCGGGAGACATATGCAGTAGGTAGTAAGCGAGAGTAGGTGATATGTACAACTGTAACAAATACAGCAGCACGCGTCGGGCGCGCGCCAGAAGTCGAATAGGTGCAAGTAGTACGAGTATAGTAGGAGAACAGACAACATGGTTCGGAGCCGGAAGTGCATGGTGGCGCGGAAGCGGGTCCGAGAGGTTCCCCAGACGGGCCTAGTAGGCGGCGAACGAGAATGGAGACGGGATGAGATTGAGGGAGACGAGGGCGCGGATGGGGATGGAGGAGAGAAGACTGGAGCAGATGAAGGAGAGAATAGGGGATCCAGAATTGTGTAAACCAAAAACAGGCATGAGCTATGTATACCAAGAGCACTAGAGGTATCTACTACCATACAGGCACACGATCGGCCGACTATACACTTGTCCGTACCATATGTGATTCGGGACGGAGTTGTAGGAGTAGAAATAGGGAGGACGCGCGAGAGCATTGGGGCGCGTGGACCGGAGGCGAGGAAGAGAACAAGCAATAAAGAGGGAGATAGCAATTGTCGGGTGTCGGCGCAAGGCGCGATCACAGTAGTTCGTGGTAGTAGCAAGAGGGATGGTACAGAGAGGCCCCAGATACTTGATGCACGACGAGCCCCTGGTACTTGGCAAGCCAGCAGGCTGTGCGGGAAGTAGGAGGGGAAGGCGGCCAGGGAAGGACGTACACAGAAGGCAGATGGGCGAGCGCCAGAGAAGTGCGGGCACGCGATGTCGCGAGAGCTGGCGCCAGGAAGTAGGACCTACAAGCGATCAACTGAGCAAATGCCGGCAGATAACAACGATCGTACTCACCGCTGCCACAGCAGAGCGATCCATCACGCCGCGAACATTCTACTCGTACTGCTGCTGGTCCCTTCCATTCCCCTGCCCATTTCCGGCGTAATATCGCTCGCGGTCCCGAGCCGCGCGATCGCCCCATGCGCGATCACGGTCGTCGCGGCCGTAGTCCCTGCTATCGCGCTCCCGGGAGCGCTCACGCGGGGGGCGGCCCAAGTCCTCCATCTGCTCGGGCTCGGGCTCGTACCCAGGCAGAGGCGTGAGGAGCGTCGAGTCGGGCGGCAGTCTGTTGGAGCCGAGGGACACGTGCGCGGCAAGCTCTGGCGTCGGAGAGCCGCTCTCCTGCCCAGACCCGACGGCACCAGCGATTCCGAGATTGACTTCCCCGCCGAGAGACGGCCCCGGCCCTGTGCTCGGACCTAGCGAAGGGAAGCCGCCAGCAGAGAGGGGACTAGGATTCGGCGCAGAGACGGAGAGCGAGCTCAGAGAGTGAGGAGGCGGGAGAGTGATGTTGCCCTGCACGTTGTAGAACTGCTGCTGGGAGCGCATGTTGTGGCCATGCGCGGGAGCCTGAGGGTGTTGAGACGCGTGCGGATTACCCCATCCGGGACCAACGAGCTCACCCTGGGGTGTCATTTGCCCCTGGCGATAATAGATGTCCTCCTCCGCGCTGTGATGGGGGATGCTGAGAGATGGCAGGCCTTGCGACGGATGGTGTCCGGAGGGATAGCGGAAATGATCACCTTCGTCGGCAGGAGAAGGAAGCCCGTACCGCGTGTCAATGCCCATGGCAGGGCCTTGCAAAGAACCGTAGGGCGGCGCGCTCTGTGGCGCATTGCCATATGCTTGCACGGGGCCTGCTCCTTGTCCTTGCATCGCGGAGTGCATGTACGAATGGCTGGGCAGGGAATGTGGTCCGCCTGATGCCCCGTGTCCGTGCGGATCGGGATAGGGCTCGACCATGCTCAGTCGCCGCCGCGCAAAGCGGTGGTGCTCGTAGTCGACCATCTGCGCGTGCGGATGGTGGCCGTACTGCATCTCGCGGATGACCATCGCCTGAGTCTCGCGTTCTCGTTCGCGCTCGGCGTCCTCTGCCTCCTTCTTCTCCTGGCGCCATTTCTTACGCAGCTCCTTGAACTCTGCAGGCGCATATACAGAGTGATCCCGTGAGGCACGGACGTGGAGGGTTAAGTCAGCTCTCGAAACGTAACCATGTCAAAGAACCGTACCGTTTGGGCTCCGCTTCGCACCATGCCGCTGCATGGTTACGTGCGCGTTCAGGTGGTTCAAGGTTCCGTACGCCTTCGTGCAATTCGGCCAACTGTCCAACAGATGCGTGCGTCTCAGCAAGCTGTCGTCCCACCGCTTAGTCAAGCGCAGGCAGCGCAAAACATAAAAATGGTCGGAGGTTCTCGAGCGGTGGGATCCGCATGAAACGCAGGGACGAGTGACAGAGGTATGTAAAGCCGAATAAAGTGCAAACTTTCCGAGCGAGAAAGCCAAATTGACCGAGGAACGGGGGCGCACCTGCACTGATACAACCGCTCAATTTCGTCGTACCTCCGGCGCGGCCGCTTTTTCACCGCATTCCCAGGCAATGACACGAACGAGTACGTCTTGCTGTTGTTCCCGCCCGGACGCGGTGTGGAGCCCGCGCTCGCCTGCCCTGGCGCACCCTGCTGCGGTCTCAGCCCTGCGCCTGGCGGCACAGCCGGGTTCCTGGATGGTGACTGGAGTGGTTGAGCGGGCGGCGAAGGAAGGCCCGTTGCGGAAACGTCCGAACCGCTGGCGGCGCTGGCAGCGTACAACGGAGAAAGCGGCGAGCTGGCCATCTGGGCCTCCTCGAGTTCGGCTTGCTTGACCCCGGAGCCCCAGGCTGCGACTGGGTTCGCGTACGGATCCGAGAGGCCCGCGGAGCCAATTGACGCGCCGCTGTTATCGCGCTGGTGTTCCGTGTACGTGCCGTAAGACGAATAAGAAGACGACGGGCGCGGCGAGACGGGGGAGGGTTGAACCATGGTTGCAGAGCCGGCGGAAGAGTACGCGAACGTGTCGTGGTGTGATGGCGGGGGCTGCGGGAAGGTTTGGCGTCCTGCGCCGAGTACAGGCTCGGACATGCGGCGGTCGAGAGTGGGATTCGTGAAGTGGAGGCGGGACAAACCTGGCTCGTTCACGTAGCGTTGCGGGAACGCGTTCTGCGTGTGGGGCGCGCTCATCGGCTGAGGGAACGAGAACTGGCGCGAGAGCGAGGAGTGTGGCGCGCCCACATGGTCCGCGGGAGAAGAGACGGGCGAGGGCGTGAAGTTGGCCTGGTCGGACGCATAAAGGAGGTTTTCTGTGTGGATCGCGGGCGGCTGCTGGCGAGACTGGATGTCGTATTCCGGGTTCTGCTGCTGCTGCTGCTGTGGAGTATGATTAGAGCGAGTGTCCTGGGGATTATGGAATGGCGGGGGATGTACGTTGTGGTGATACATGGTGTCGGGGCTGGAGGAAGTGTGGGCGGGGTGACCACGGGGAACATAGCTGTAGGCGGATGAATGCTCCAGGGGTGAGTCGTCTGGATGGTGGTCTTGTGCGCGTTGGGCGGGCTGGGGGTGAAGCGGGAGCCTGTCCACGGTGGAGAGGGAGCGGGGGGACGCGCGGGGGACGAAGGGGGCGTGCTGGGGGGGATATGCGAGATGGGGGAGAGAGGCAGGCTGGGGAGGATAGAGGAGCATTGACGGACGGGATGGCGGATCGGGGGAGTGTTTCGAGGGCAGGCTGATCAGTGTATTATCCCTGCCCGCGATGCAGGCCAAGGCGCGAGCAGCCGTCCAGGCGCAGGCTCGGGACTGTGACCGCGCACCTGCCCCGGTGACAGTCCGTCACTCGCCTGCCTCTGCCCGCGACCGTCTGCGAATGCGAACGCCCCCCGCACGAACGCCCAGCTCAGGGTCTGCCAGATCTGCCCGCGGGCGGATCTCCAACCGCCCCTGCTCCCATCACCCATCTTCCCAATACATTCTCCATTCAATCTCCGCATCTTCAGATTCTCCCTTCGATCCATCCACATCTATTTTATTTAATTCCTCCCCCCTTCTCTCATTGGCTCCCGCTGTCCAGCTCCCACCGCGCCTTATCCAGCCTCCTCGCAATCTGCCCAAATCGAGAACCCATGTGCGCGGCAGCTGCTGCTCCCGGCCGGCCTTCCCACCCTCCCCATCCATCCGCGTCATTCGGACGATAACGCAACGCTCCCTCGCCCGCTGCTGGCCACACCTGCACTCTCCCGCCAGCCACCAACGAAGCCAGCCAGCGGCCCCGCCCGCCGCGTCCTGTCAAGCCCCTTGACTGTCATTCGCGCCACTAACCGTCAGCCCTGTCACGTCCACCGCACCCGTTTGCCTCCCCCTATCCTCCGCGCCCCCTCTCCGCTTCCCGGCCCCGCCACCGTCTCTTGGCCTCCCATCCTGCCCTTGTCTGATACTGCATTACATCACTCCGAAGCTGCTCGACAGACGCCCACCCGCTCGCGTGTTTATCGCGTGATCACCCCGCCTTCCACGCCAGTCCTCCGGCTCCTCGTCCTCCTTCTTCCCGTCCTCCAAGCTCTTCTGCCTGTTCTACACGTTTGATCTCGTCTCCTTCTCCCCAATCATCACGTCTGATTCATCTGTATCGCTCTCCAGCCCACTTCTCACCCTTTTCTATCTCGTTCACGCGTCTCTGCTGCGTTCGGGAGCGCGTCTCCCCCGCTGATCGGTCCCGCCCTCCCGCGTCTCCGTCCATCCGAAATCGTCGAAAGCATTCTAATCCGAAGACGCTTCCTGCGCTTCTCTTCCTCCAGCCTCTCCCACGCCCTCATCTTCTATTGCCCAGGCGACGGACACCTGCCACGTACATTTCCCGTAGACTCGTCTACCGCGCCTCGGCTCGCTAGACGCACGCGACGTCCTCAGAGCAGCAGCGTCCATTCCGCGCCCTCGGACTTTATGCGCGCGTCTGTCCGAGCGGGCTCCCCGAACGGGCAGGTGCGCCGGTGGCCATGCGTCCTGATGCACTCGGCACCGCTGACGCTGTCCCATGTTCCATGGACTGCACATGTCGATCGAGGTGAGACGCCTTCGCACATGGTCCACTGCGGGGCACAAACGGGTCCCAGGCGTGGTGGGATTCAACGGTTGTTCATATGTTCTCCCCGTATACTTCGGTATAATCAGGCGCCCGCGATGACACGGTCGCGTTTCCTGCGGTCTGTCCATCCCAATCGCGCTCCTCCCGACCACTGTCCGGAGCGACGAATGCCAAGTTTGAACGGCACCCCCTGGACTGCCCCTGCGAGTGTGCTCTCATACCCACCCCAGCGAGCGAGCAGATGGCTCCCCATGCTGATACGCTGACTACGTTCAGAGCGAGTGTGACTTCGAGCTGACGTCCACGCAGACTGCACAGAAGCTCGCGAAGCAGGGCGTCCCGAGAAGGCGCATAACGTACCCTCACGTAATACCCGGGCATTCCCCCGCGACCGAGTGCGGCTTACGCTGTGTCGCGAAGCCTGTCCTTGGACGATCGGCGACGTCGTGTCGCCTGCGTCCGTGTATGAGTATCCGATTCCTCGATTCGCTGTCTGACGGGTTTCCACCTTCTTTCCTTCTCACTTCGCGCGGCCAAGATCGTGGCGTGGCTGCGCCCATATAGAGCGGTTCGAGTGTCGCAAAATGGCAATCCCATGGCGACGACTCGACCGAGCTCCTGATGCTGCTCCCCGCGGACGAACCCACTCGGCTCCTCGGACGTCGTCGGTTGTGCCGTCGACGCGTCGATTGCGATTGAGGAGGTTCTCTCCGTTGCGAACAATAAGCTTCTCCCCGCCAGTGCGAAACTCAATGTTGGGGAAAGTTACATGTCTGCGCACTGCCTGCAGTCGCGCGATTGCCCTCCTCTCCTCACGTCAGCAACGGCGCTTCTATTTACGTTGAGCTTACTCTTCGAGGTGGACGAGCCTGTCTACGGCTTCTCGAGGCGGAGGATGCTGTCACGCTCGACGTCCTCCCCGAAGCTGTGTGTGCCGTCACATCGCGACCAACCTTCGCCAGAACGGGTCGATGTGTCTCGGTGACGTCGGTGGGTCTACATTCTTTGTCTTCCTTCCTCCTTCTTACTCATTCCACAACGGCGCACAGCTCTTGGCATCGATCCACCGTGCGCGGGAACAAGGGACATACGCAGTTGTTCGTTGCCCGTCGTCTCGTTCGGAGGTTCTCTCACAGCGTCGACAGGTACCCTTCTAGAAACCCACCGCAGCGGTCAAGGCTTGCTGCGTCACGCCCGTCGTCGCTTGCTCTCACTCGGCGGCTGTGGACCTACAGCGCTAAGCGACCAGTGGGTCCACTTACCCCCGATCATTCCCAAGGTACTCGAAAAGTAAAACCTCGTCCCGAGTCCGTGCGATCCCGTACGTATGCCCGTGCTGTGCCGCACTAGCAGTCATTATCTCAGTCGAGCTTTCTTCTGCCAGGTTCGCGGGTCGCACGAATGAATCGATCGACCACTGCCACCCCCGCCAGCCCTGCGTACCATCCACGACGAACGCGAAGATCTGCTGCAGTGCGAGGATCCCCCGGACGTGTCCGGACAGGATCCCTTCCCTCCTTTCTGCTCCGTCGACCTTCTTCCACGCAGAACTCTTCCATACGATCGACCCACCCCCCCTTTTGGACACGCGAACCGAAGGTTCTCTGGTACGCTTCGTTCGAGGGCTTTGCGCGAAGTCTGTCTCCGCCTTCGAACCTAGGTATCCTCACGTCGTCATAAACATAAACCAGGGCCCAATATTGGCGTCGACTATCTCTCGTTCCTCGCACCCTCGCGAACATGACACATCTTTCACCTCGGATCCCTTTGCGAAACCCCCTTGTACGGTTTCTTGTCACCGTTCCTAACCCCGCGTACCTCAGACGACTCCGCAAAATTGTCGTTCTCCGCTTCTGCTCGGCAGCGGCTGAAAGCACGCGGGCATCTCCTCGCTCCTCGCTCGCCACCGCGGTCATCCTGCTTAGCCCTCCGGGTTTCGTTTGCCAGCCAGACGCTCGCGCGCGCGGCGAGGGGCGCCCCGTTAGACGCGCTCGGGGGAGGAGGAGGAGCGCCACCATCTGTCATCTGATGCTTGGCCGGGAGCCGTCTGCGGCGCAGGCGTGAAATTGCGCCGCCCGTCCTAACCTGAGACTTGCTGCCGGCCGCTCTCGGAAGATTACCGTGATTGCAGGCGTACCGCACGGGCGACAGAACATGGATTTTGTACAGCGACGTGCAAATTGAGACGGCCATACAATTTTCGTGAGCCAGCGCCTGGGCCTCAAACGCTGTGCCGGGATGTCGGGCACCAGGAGAGAGCCGGAGGCCGTTTGTCACCTCCGTGAAGTCACAACTGCTAGCGCCCTGTGACTCTCCAGCGTCTCTCTGAGCGCCGTTTTGCGCGAGACCATTCTGCACATCGCTGTAGTGAGGAGATTGGCTGATATGCACGAAGGCTTCGGGCAAGCTGGTTAAATGTGTATGTGCTCGTTGCTGTTTTCTCTGTGGCGGACGCTGAATCTAATGCGTGCACGCTGTTCCTGGCAGCTGAACGGATGACAGCTCATTTGCGGTGCGAGGGCGGGCCTGGTGACTTGTCGCGGCGTCCGAGACCGTCAGATACCGCACACAGGGACCGGAGTAGATCAGCTGCAAATGTGCCTTCAGTAGACTGACCATTGGGTATACATAGCAGCTGGGCACAATTTCTCAGCGATTCTCAGATGTTCAAGGGCGAATAACACTCGGTCGTCCTGGAGTCTGACGCTGGGCTAATTAGGTCAGCAATATCTCGATGACGTTCACAATCGATGGCCCCTGTAACCGTCCTCTGTATCTGGTGGCGCTGTAGCCACCACGACGATTACCCAAACAGGACGAGATTGTCCTGAAGTCACAAACACGAGGCTCTCGTCCACATTCTTGCATCGTGAGTTTGCTTCCACACGTGACTCCAGCAGCATAACCTACAACACATCAGTCAAATGGCATCGAACCGTGGCTCGAGCTGAGAAACGGCACGCTTATCTGACGGGCCCTTACGTAGCTCACGCTTTCGTCCAGGTATCCATACCCACGTCCGGACAGGGAACGTCATCCTGGAACGTGTAGGATCTGCGGACGGAGACGTCTGCGCGCGGACATGGGGCAGTCTTCTGTCCGATGTTTTAGGCTTCAAGACCCTTCCACGTCACTTCTCGTATGCACCTCTCCGGATCCACCCTGCAAGGAGCCGCTGAAATGACGAGATTCCAGAATCCAGACCGCGTTCCCTTACCTATCTATCTGTGATGCGTACATTACAGATTGCACAGTTGATGGTGATGCGCTTGCCATCCTGTTCTCCTCTCTTCCCGTGCTCTTGCATCGCATCCCGGCATCCATTCTTCGATCTATTTTACAGTAGCTTATTGGGTATGTCTTGTTCATCTCTCTCCTCGGTAGAGCGTTGAACGTCACATGTTCTATGGCCATCTTCCCTGCCTTGCACCATTCAGCTCCCATGCAGCGGCGTCGACGAGGCTCGTTCCCAGCCGACAAAGTCTTGCGGGGATGCAGTGGCGGAACCGAACGCCAGCTCGCCCCGTCTCGAAGCCGTCCCACAGGTGTCCGGGCGTGCAGCTCGCCTTGTCCTCGCCGGATGCTTCCTTCTTCCATTCTTCGTGATATGTGTTGCACACGCGCTCGTGCGAATCGCAGCTAAACCAGTGTTCACAGGTGTGATAGCTCCTGGTCGAGGACCGGGGCAGGATGGCGAACGCCTGCCCGCACTGTAGCCGCGGTCCCAGCTGACGATCACGGAGGCCTCCCATGCCCGTTCGGCCACTGGGTCTCTCGCGCCTCGGGATGAATGTCGGCGAACGCGTGTCACGCTGCCGAGAAGCACGATCGCTGCACGAACTGCGAGCAATGCAGCACGTGGCATGGCTCCATGTGGTCATTCTCGCAACGCATCTTCGAGCTCCTGCGGCGAGTCGTGCCAAGGGCCACACGCGCAACACGTGGTATGTTGTCCCGTCCCCGCCGCTGTCGGGATCCAGCCATTCTCGACGGGTGACGAATGATCTGTGGACATCGGGGGGGAACAGCGCAAGGACCTACATAACATCTAGACATAGAAGCATCAGTTCAGCCCTCGACTCGCATTCGTATCGATCGAGGGTATGCTCCCGTCAGAACGCCGGGTAATCTTCGACTTGGACCGCTCTCAGCCACAGCTGGCAGGAGTCTCTCACAAGCCTTCCCACACGGCGAGCGGTGGAAGCACCGTTGCTCGCGAAGCACAACGCGTTCAACGACGAAGCGGCCGGAAACGACACAGTATCATAACATCCGGGCATCTCGCGTTGTGGCGCCGTGTTCTGCGTATGCATCTGCGAAGTCCAAGAATCAAGACGCACCGGCGTCGTCGCGTCGCCGCTTTTGTACGTACACAAGACACCTTGGCACGTCATAAACCGACCGTGCGGTTTGAGGCCCGGCGTTTGTCGCGGTCTGAGCGTCGCCTCGCGACCATCTTCTGAGTGCCAGTTGTAGCAACTCAGCCGCGCTGTCTCCGTATGTGTATATGAGCCATCGATACGGAGATCACCATATGAGGGGTAACCCTGGTCATTCGCTGCCTGCTGACGGGCGTACAACGATATACTATCGCGACCCCAGTGTTCGGACAACAAAGCGCCCGCTGCAGAATCCCTTCGTTTTATGTCCTTTCATGCTCTCCGATAATGTTGATTTTTGGCACGCAGAAAGAGACGTATGTAAATAGACTATGTGCCAAACATGAGAGATATTGGAGGAGAAATGAGCAATGGAGACGGGATTATACAGGGCTGACCCCAGTGTTCGGACGATTCTCCGCGCCGGAGGTCACGATCTGTCACGCTTGCCGATGCCTGCCGGCCTTCGGGTAATGCCCGTTCTCCAGCTTGATGAGCCTTAGCCGAGGAGCCAAGTAGGTCGGAGCGTCAAGATGTGGCTACATTGTCACGCCCTCGAGGGCTATTTCTTGCTTCTCCTCTGTGTTCCCCTCAACAGGCCTCGGAGAATTTATTGCTGGACAAAATGCGTCCATGGGAACATGTATGAGGAATTTTGAGGGAAGCGCCCGGAGAGTAGTACAAAGCGAGACTCAGGAAGCTTTGATGGGGATGAGTCGGCCCACTTCCTCCTGCAAGATCGCCCCAATGGCTTATGATATAAATCCCGTTCCTGTTGCTGCTCATTTGGAACGCATCTGGGCACTTACCTTCCAACTTGCAACTTTATCGGTTGGAAATTGAGGGAGATACGTCTGTTTGTCCGAACACTGGGGTCTGTCCGAACACTGGGGTCGCGATAGTATGACCGAATCGATCCAGAATATGCGGGGATATATTTGACGCGCCTACGCGCTCGCGTCTGGTGTGCCCTGACGAATGCCATCGAAGGACCGTGCGAGAACCAGCTGTCTGGGCGCCTTCGATTTCGTGATGTGCCTCGGGTGCGCGACGCGCCCGTCTTCCTAAGACAAGGTGAGCCTCCAACTCAAGTCCACGCGCACGTTCCCTATGTCTCGTCAAATCCGTTTTTTTTTCAGCAGCCCTCAATTTTCGGTATACGATCAGCTATGTAACATTCAATACGCCCTCCTCACCAGCGCCCACACACGAGTCCTCTGACTGATCTTCGCGATTGCAGGGTCCAAAGCGGCTGATATGTCAGTTATTCTTGACATGTCTTCGAGCATTCAGTCCGTTCAGGCTTCCATCCGCTCACCCCCCGTTCGCGCCTGGCTTCGCGCACCCTAATCATGATTCGTATGGTTCTACAAGTGCTGAAATTTGTCGGCCATAGAGCGAGCGATGTCCCTGAGATAACCACGAGCGCTAGCTTGAAGGCTACTAGCAGCCGTGAACCGGCTTGCAACCGAGGCCACGGCCCGAGCGTGCAGGCACTGGCTTTGCATTCGCTCAGTACTCAACCCAAAAAGCACCCAAAGGGCGGGGTCCACTGTGCAGGGTTCCGCAAGCCGAACCATGCAGGACGACGCTTGTGGAGCGCTCATTGATCGCGCCTCAAGGCCTCAAGCTCCGCCTGCTCGACGTGCCGTGTCGGGCGCTAGGTAGCGGATTGTTCAAGCGTTGCCTTATGTCGGAACTTCCTTGTGCTCTGTCGACCAGGGACATCTATTCCGCGGCTGACTGGCACAAGGATCATGTGAAGAAGGACCCTGAGCTGCGAGCACTGACGGTCCTTTACAATCGGAGCTATTCGGCGGCCTATACGAAAGGCCTACGATAGGCAACACCGTCACGGTACGCGCCGTGGATGGTGTGATTCTTCAGGCCCGATTGACGTTACTTGACAGGATCTGCGGCAAACATTGCTGATACGCATGCCATGCGATTATCCCCTTGTCCGAGCTGCATAGTGGTATGAAATTCAGGCATGGGGCTCCACCGACCTCAGGTGTCTGCTAGCATCGAACTCTGGAA